GTGGGAGACTGTTTAATGGGTTATTTCATAAGCTGTAGCGGGGTTCAAATGATAAACTTCTTCTTCGGAGGCTTCTTTGTTTATTGTTAAGTCATGGTGGGTACACAGGCTTGTGTGTTTGAGCCCATGGCCCGGGCAGGGCCATCCCACGAGAGAGCTAGTAGGCCTTCTGTCTTCCTGCTAGGCCGCTGTGAGAGTGAGAGTGAGGCAAGGGCAGGCAGGCTGGCTTGCCCACCGAGAGGCCTGGCTACAGAGGGCAGCATCTGAGTGGCGCGAAATATGAACTAAGCTGGCAGACAGCATGGGCTGTCTGTGCAGACAGTACAGGCTGTCTACAAAACGGCCGACTTGTTGAAAAAAAAAAAAAATCGGGCCGATTCCTACAAAGGCAGGGTGGCCCGAAAAAGAAAAACTTTCATCATCATTCACTCCATCACTGTCTTGCCAGAGGGGTGCTTTACACTACAGTTAACCCTTTGAGGGTCTGTGCCGTAGATCTACGACTTTACGTTGAGGGTCCAAACCGTAGATCTATGTCATGAGCTCAGCTCACTCTGATAAGCTGTGAGCAGTAAATTTTGGTCTAGATATGAGAGAATACATCTATGTGGTATGTGTGCACCACATAAAACAAATCCTGCAGCACATAGTGCATAATGAGAGAAAAAAAACTGAGACCGTAATTTTTTATTAAAACAGCAACTTTGCAGTGTTTTTTCGTATGTTTTTTATAGTTGTATTTGCGATTTCTTGGTCTCATTTGATAAAATGGAAGATATATTACAGAAATAGAGATGAAATGGCTTGTAACTGAGCTCAAAATAGCAGAAGTTTTAAATTTTTGCCGATGTTCTAGAGTAAACAAATGGCCTCACACATCTGATACACACCTGCTGGTGGGTCTAATATACATTTACAAATGTGGTGATATTATTTATACAATTATTACAGTATTGCATAACAGTAATAATATTTGTTTTGGTTTGAATAAAAATTCATTATGTGAATAATAAATCAAAATGGAATTCATTAGGAAAGCCTGGAAACATAACTGATGAACAGAGGGAATGTTAGTTTAGTGCCAGGAATGCCTGCATTGTTTATTCTGGACCCTATTTTGAAATTGGAGTATTTTGAACTCTGCATTAAATTGGCCAAATTACCAATTTCCGATCACTTTATTTTGTAGTTGAAACAGTTGACTTGGCGAATTCTTGTGCTTGCTCAATAGAATAGAAGTAATACTAGTGAAATAGCCAAGAATTTGGTCGACTGGAATATTGTAATTGGCCTAAAATGGGAGTCAGAGTCGGCAAAATTGCCGATGTGTAAATATCGCTGACACATCAAAATTCACAAGAGCATAATTTCATCAATTTTCCATCAAATTTCATACTTTTTGTTTTATTACCTTCAGAAAAAGATTCCCTTCCATTTCATAAGAAAAAATAGCAAAATAATTTTTTGAAAATTCTTGGACACTGGTGTACACTTAGAAATTTGGCCTTTGGACCCTGAAAGGGTTAATAATAATAATAATATTAATACACAAATAACCCGCACATAAAAGAGAGAAGCTTACGACGACGTTTCGGTCCGACTTGGACCATTGACAAAGTCACACTGGTCCAAATCGGACCGAAATGTCATCGTAAGCTTCTCTCTTTTATGTGCGGATTATTTGTGTATCGTTCCAATCATGGTATTGTGCCTGTTTGTTATTTAATAATATTAATAATAATAATAATACATATGCAACAGTTAGACAACTTTATTCCGAAACATTTCGCCTACACAGTAGGCTTCTTCAGTCGAATACAGAAAGTAGGCAGGAACAGTAGAGATGTGAAGATGATGTAATCAGTCCATCACCCTTGTAGTCGTAGAATTTGAGGTTGTCAGTCCCTCGGCCTGGAGAAGTTCAGTTCCATAGTCAGGAACTATCTGAAGATCAAGCGACAGTGCGGAGACTTAAATACTGTCGGAAGGAGAGGTGCAGAGTAGTAGTAGTAGTAGTAGTGAGAATGTAGCCACAGAGAGGTCATGTCCCTCTCAATGGCTACATTCTCACTACTACTACTACTACTACTACTCTGCACCTCTCCTTCCGACAGTATTTAAGTCTCCGCACTGTCGCTTGATCTTCAGATAGTTCCTGACTATGGAACTGAACTTCTCCAGGCCGAGGGACTGACAACCTCAAATTCTACGACTACAAGGGTGATGGACTGATTACATCGTCTTCACATCTCTACTGTTCCTGCCTACTTTCTGTATTCGACTGAAGAAGCCTACTGTGTAGGCGAAACGTTTTGGAATAAAGTTGTCTAACTGTTGCATATGTGTCTTACCTAACAACCTGTCGGTATTGTATACCATTTTGATGTTCAATAATAATACAGTTAATAATAATAATAATAATAATATCTAGGTAGTAGGTTGGTAGACAGCAACCACTCAGGGAGGTTTTGATGTCTTACCAAATGAGTGTAAAATAGAAACCTGTAATTGTTTTACATGAAGATAGGATTACTGATGTCTTTTTTTTTTTTTTTTTTTTTTTTTTTTTTTGTGTGTGTGTGTGTGTGTGTGTGTGTGTGTGTGTGTGTGTGTGTGTGTGTGTGTGTCATAAACTTGTAAGATTTCAGGTACGTCTTGCCACTTCTCCTTTCTCTTAGGTCACACTACACACACATGTACAGGCATATATATATATACGCATATACATATATACACACCCCTCTGCATTTTCTTCTATTTTCTTACTAGGTCTTGTTTATTTCTTCTTATTTCCATGGGGACGTGGAACAGAATTCTTCCTCCGTAAGTCATGCATGTCGTAAAAGGCGACTAAAATGCCAGGAAAAGAGGGCTAGTAACCCCTGTTCCTGTATACATTACAGCCTCTCCTTACTTAACAACAGTTCCAGTCCTAAGACCACGTCAGTAAATGAATTAGTTGCTAAGTGAGGAGCATACTATAATGGTAGTGGGTTTGTGTCAGCTATCTTTGTGACATTTCTGACATATTTTTGAATGTTCATACAGTATTGTACTGTATATTGTATTAAACAGAATAGAGGAAATCAGCTCTAATATACATTATTTAGGTATGCATACTGGTCAAAGAGCCCATTGTAAGTCCGAGTTGTCAGTAAACGAGGAGAGGCTGTACTAAATTTAAAGAGAGAAGCTTTTGTTTTTCTTTTTAGGCCACCCTACCTCAGTGGGATGTGGTTGGTTTGTTTAAAAAAAAATGATAATAGAATAATAATGATAGAGTGGGTGAGGTGCTTTCAGCAAATTTTGCTGAGAATAAGAAACCGTTTTGGAATGAGATAAATAGGGTAGAAAAGCCTAGGGAACAAATGGACTTGACAGTTAAAAACAGAATAAGGGAGTTAGTAGATGGGGAGTTGGAGGTATTGGGAAGATAGTGGGAATATTTCGAGGAACTGTTAAATGTTGATGAAGAGAGGGAGGCAGTGATTTTATTCATTGGCCAGGGAGGTATAAAATCTTTTAGGAGTGAAGAACAGCCAGATATGAGTGTGAGGGGAGGTGTATGATGCATTAGGTAGAATGAAAGGGGGTAAAACAGCTGGAACTAACACGCTCACACAGCAAGCATGTGTGAGCGTGTTAGATAGGAGTGGAGACAAATGGTTTTTGGGACTTGACAAGCTGTTGGAGTGTGAGGACAGTAATATTTTGTGAAAGGATTCAGGGAAACCAGTTAGCAGGACTTGAGTCCTGTAGATGGGAAGTACAATACCTACACTTTAAAGGAAGGTTTTGGGACATTTGGTGTTTAGAGTGATATCTGAACTGTTGTATCTGCGTACCTCTACAAAGACAGTGATGATGTGTGAATGATGGTGAGAGTTTTTTTTTTTTTGGGGGGGGGGGGGGGGTCACCCTGCCTCGGTAGGAGATGGCCAGCGTGTTGAAGAAAAATAATAATAATAATAATAGTAATAATCTGACAAGTATACACTACAACTATGACAGACCTAGTGGACATCATTGGTACACTACTGTATATAGAAAGCCCCTGGTTATGCAGAGCATTTCTGGCAACTTAGGTTAATCTTATTCTTCAGGATGCAACACACACCAGTAATATCATCGTACACATAATATGTCTTCAAATTTTTTTGAGGTCTTATTTATAAACATAGAGAGAATTACCTCAAAAATACAAGTTGAAAGGCATTATAAATGTTTAGAAACCTGATGTACTGAGTCTGGCTTTAGGTAAACTGGAAAAATACATTCTAAAACTGGTATCATTCGTGGAAGAGACTAAGAGAATTTTTATAAGAATTTCATTGAGGCCTGGTCTGGGACTGGGCAGTTAGAGCATTGACCCTCAGAACACACACTGTGTCAGGTCACCCCACCAAGGTAGGGTGGCTGACAGTGAAGAAAACTCTCACTGTCACCCATTCAATCACTGTCTTGCAAGAAGAATGGCGACATCACAGTTCAGATGACCATCCAAATCTCAGCATCTCCACCACCCCTCCTTCAGAGACTAAGCACTGTGCTTCCCACCTCCAGGACTTAAGTCCAGTTAACCAGCTTTCCTGAATCCCTTCATAAATCATATATATGTATGTGAGTGCAGTATCGTGGTTGTTTTTGAATGCTTCACATTTACTGCACATGTGCTTTGGGTCCTGGAATATTTTGTATTGGATACTGAAGACCTGGTATTTATTTTTAGAGACAAACATACAAGCTAAAAAAAAGAAGTAGAGATATGAAGAAATGTTCATAATTTCATTTCAAAATTTGTCTCCCAGGCTAGGTTATTATGCCCTCTAGTAATCAGTTCATCTTCTAAATCATGTGTAGTATTGTTACAGTAATATACACTCATTTATTACCTTTGTATTGCTTTTCTACAGATCAATGAGAATTTTCATTTGGTGTAGTCTTAGAATGTTATCTATTTTTTATTGTCATTGAATTAATAATTTAAATTTTTATTCCAGGCCAAATATAAACCCCAGAGTAAAGATGACTTGCACATGCGTTCTGTAAAGAGAGACAGCGGTGATGGCTTGACACCATTAATTGACCAAGGCAAGTATTGTATCTGGGGACTCTTCATATTACACAGATAACCCACACATAGGAGAAAGAAACTTATGATGATGTTTTGGTCCAACTTGGATGATTAACTAGTCACACACTTAGTCACAAGTTTCTTTCTCCTATTTAATTATTTTATTAACACATCGGCCATTTCGCACCATGGCAGGGTGGCCAGAAAAAGAAAAGCTTTCATCATCATTCACTCCATCACTGTCTTGCATGTGTGGGTTATTTATTTATTGTTCCGTTGTGGTTTTGTGCTTTTTTATTTTATAGGCCCTTTTTTGTTTTTTTATCTCATGCAAGGAGGTGTAATGATGTAAAATTTTTTCCAACCATTGATTTCAGTTAAATTTCAGCATCTAAGAAAGCTGGCCCACCAGTAACATTCAAGTTGTTAGGAAGAATTCTGCGGGTTGACTTGTGTGTCCTGTGCAGTATTTAAATGAAAACTTATGATTTTTTTTCTTTTTTTCTTTTTTAGAAGTTGATATACAGGTTGCAGTTTAATGATAGTTTTAAACAAAATGTACTAATAAGGTCAGTATTTTGGAAAAAAAGAATGTGTTTAGAATGAATGTAAAAAAAAAAAAATGTGCATCTTAATTTTGATTTATTAAAATAACAGTACTGTATATTAGAATAACGTTAAGCAGATAAGAGGAGAAGTGAATATTAAATGGATAATTGCGGGGGAGGCAGTGCTGTTTTAAAAAAACATTTAAGTTTTGTTTTTTTTTTTTTTTTCAACAAGTCAACTTTTTCCCATGAGGCGTGTGACCCATAAAGAAAAAAAAATCCCCAAAAAAAAAAATACTTTCCATCGTTCAACACTTTCACCTCATCTACATAATCACTGTCTTTGAGAGGCACCCGTCAACAGTTTAGAAGCATATACAGTGGACCCCCACTTACATTTAAATTCATTCCAGAATCTGTTCGGGTGCGTTATGAACGAATTTTTCCCCATAAGGAATATTGAAAATTGATTAGTCCGTTTCGACCCCAAAAATACACGTACAAAAGCATTACAAAAATACACTTACATAATTGTTGAGTTGGGAGCTGATCAGGGGGGGTCCACGTAAAAAGATATATAAAATATCCCCCAAATGAAAAATACCAAAAACCCTTTTTAAAAGTGCAGGCAGGGTACACTACTTTTTCCAGTACTCTTTTTGGCTATAAAAAAAATAACCGGTTCCCTAAATCCCATTATAAATATTACCCTTCACACTCCAACACTTTTGGGTCCCAAAAAACCTTCGTCTCCATTTACTTCCATAAACATGCTCATCATGCTTATGGGAAATCCAAGCCCCCCGCCACAAGCCTCCTTTACCCCCCCCCCCCAACCTTTTGAGGATGACCCCCACCCCGCTTTCCTTCCCCCACAGATTTTTTTGCGCTCTCCATGTCATTCTACTTTGATATTCTCTCTGAATGACCAAAAAACCTCATCAGCTCCTTTTCAGCCTCGACTAATATTTTATTAACTCCAACCTTCTCCTAATTTCCCCACTCCAAATTCTCTGCATAATATTTCCACACAGTTGCCCCCTTAACAGGAATCTCCCTGCCTCCAACCACCTCCTCACTGCACATTTCAACCCCAAGGTTTTCACACCCCTATTAAGTGTGGATGCTATATTTATACATTTCCCCTTTTTTGCCTCATAGGTAATGTTTTTTTTTCTCCACAATCCTCAAGCACCACTCACCTTTTTTCCTTCAATTCTGTGGTTAACCTCATCCTCACAACCCATCTGCTGACACGTCAATCCCAAAAACTGAAAAATTTAAAATTCTTCCATCTCCCTCCTTTCCCTTGGTATCTGTTTTTTTTTTATTTAAATGTTTGATACCCTCATCACCCTTTCTCTTTTATGTTCACTTTCAATTTCTAACTTTACCACCCTCCCAAATGTCCACTAACCTTTGCAACTTTTTTTAAAACTCCCGTAAGCACAGTTCTCACAAAAAGTAACGTGTCAATCCCTTTTGTAGTGTTCCCCTAATTTTTCACGAGTTATTCATTTAAAGTTATTAATGCATAAAAAAATTAAAAAGTGGAATGTTTTAAAAGGGCAATCTGCATGCCTTGGTAAGCCCGTGATTGCTGAATAATGATGAAGTTTTCCTTTTTTTTGGGGACCCTACCTTGTGGTGATTAAACCGTGTGTTAAAAAAAAATTTTAAAAGAAAAAAGGGCTTGCTTGATTGGGTTGGAATTTAGGTGAATGTTGGGGTAAATGAAGGTTTATGTCACTGGCTTAAATTTTATACACCTTGGTAATTACTATTAGTTTTTTTCCCGATACATTTTTGCATTTTTATATTGTTTCTAACAATGAATTGCATTTATACTTTCCCAAGACTAGTGTTGGAATTTATTGATATTGTACTGTTAAAATACTATCAGGGAATTATATCCAATCAGTGATTGTTTTTTCGTTAATCCAGTTGGAATAATAATTTACGTAGTTGAAAAATGCACTGGAAAATTGGTCTGTTTTATGCTTTTTTGTACCTTTTAGCTTTTAAATTTAATTCTGTGCCTGTCTATCCACATATAATTCTGAAAATTTTTTAACAAGGAATCTCATAGGCACAGCTGGCCAACAGCTAGTAAGTCTCCAGTATTGAATGAATTGTGACAAGTAAGTTTTAATTAAAAGTGGAATACATATGTATATGGAAAACTTTGCAAATTTTTATCTTTGTAGTATTATGAGTAGCAGTAAAAAATTTTTTTGGAGCTCTTTTTATTCAGAATTCTTGTAAATTTGGACTTTAAAATTATTAATTTGTCTCTGAAAATGAGAGTTTTACATATAATGGACAAAGTCCTTTGGTTGCAGAATTGTCTTATTGATACAGTACACTGACAAAATAACCTCGTCTCTAACTACCACACTCACCATTACCAATCACCTACTGCTCCCTACTAGTCTGTTAAATTTAGGTTGTTTCTGTATTTTAATGGTTGATCATGAATTTTGTGATACCAACAGATACTGATGTGGGATGGAACAGGTGGAGGATTAAATGAACCGACTGATGGGGAAGCCTCTGTTGATCATCTGGTTTTTGGCAGTAGTGTTGGAACCTGGTGCTACTACCGAGCAGTGACAACAAGAAAAAGGAGCCTCATTTGTGTGCCTGTTGGTGCCCAGGATGGGCAGAAATATATGTTAGGCAACCCACTGGTTAGTTATCTTCCTTGTTGAATGTTGGTTTAAAGCTATTATTTTTAAGTGGTTTTATGTTGATTAAAAATCAAATAAATTACCCAAACTAGCTTCCTTGCAGGTGGCAAAGTAGTTCCTTGCCTGCCACATTGTGTATTTGCAAATGACAAAGGTATGCAGACATCTGAGTATTTTTTGAATACCTTATGGAACTAAAAGTAGAGGGAAGAATGGCAGGTGGAGAGTGTGAGAAGCCAGATTTTCAAAGAGGGAACTTTATAGGGATGAGGGATTTCCTGGTAGGAAAGCAATCTGGAAGGCAAGTGAGTGGATGAGATGGATTACCTAGTTGAAAATGGCTCGGAAATAAAGAACTTCTTAAACATCACGGTGCTCCCAGTATATACCCATGTACTTTTTGCTCAGGTAGATCTGTTTTGCCACTGTGTGGGCAAAACTTAATCAATATAAGATTGCATTTATGTCCATTTTTCCATCTTGTTTTTTTTTTAAACCATTTATCTCCAAGGGGAAATAGCATCTCTGGTTAAACCCAGAGATGCAGAGACCCAAACAAAAAAGCAAAAGGCATGAAAACATGAAGAAAGTAAAGGGGAAGATGAGAATGAAATGAATTGCGGGGGTTTAGGGAGAGAGGCAAAGTGACAATTTGGGAATGTTCCCAAATTTGTAAATAAAAGCTGCTTCACACCCCACATCAGAAAAAAAAATGATACAAGAAAGTCCCCAAAGTTGAACAAATTTTTTTAAAGGGGTTTGAAAGAAAAAAGGGGTTACCTGGCAGAAATTGGAGCCCTAAATTTTACCCCAAAAACGGGAAAAAAAAGAGGAAAGATATGGTTTAAAAGTCAACAGTTGTCCCTTAAATACCCCATGCCAGTACCTGGCTATTTTTTTAAAAACCCTTTAATATGAATTTTGGATTTAATTTTCAGTTTTTTTTTGCATTATTCCGTTAAATTTTTTGTTTTTGTTATTTTTTTTTTTTAAATTTCCCTTGTTTTTTATTCGCATCATTTCTTTTTTTGGGGAATTGTGCCTGGATGATGAAAACTTATAAAACAATTTTGGACAGTAGAAACAGGAGAGGACTTCCTTTAAATATCTTGAGTAATCTTATTTTTATTCAATTTTAATCGAGTCTAGCGAGTTTGCCATGTCAGTTTCTCTCCCCAGGAAGATGGGGAAAAAGATTTAAAAATTTGAAATTAATGTGGAAAAAATGAGGTAAAATATTTTTAATTTAAATGGGGGGAAAAATGAGGTGAAATATTTTAATGTGAAAAAAATGAGGTAAAATATTTTTAATTAAATGGGGGAAGAAAAAAAATGGGGAAAATTTTTTAAATTTAATGTGGGGAAAAAATGAGGTAAAGTATTGAATAATGGTGGGGAAAAATTTTTGGGTTTTTTTTTAAAATATTGCCCCCACTTGACCAGACCATCTCATCACCCCTTTTTGCTGTTTAAATTATACATTTTCTTTACCACTGTTTTTAAATTTTCCCCCCAATTTTTCATTCTCTCCCATTTTAAATCCCAAATTAGGTATCATTTTAATCCGTTTTTTATCATGAACTTTTGGAAATGCTTTTTGCTCAAATTAACATTAATGTTTTTCACAGGAACTCTTGGGCCCAACACTTTGAAGACCCCAAGACCACGGGCATTTTCTGGTGCCTCAGACAAGACACCCAAAACTCGGTTTGGCTCTCAGAGAGATTCTAGTGGTTGTAGCCCGCGGTTTCGCCATCTCATTTCATCTTTTGATTCGGACAATGGGTGCTGTTAGGGGAAAGGGCACCAGAGGCCCGTTCACCTTGGGCTAATACAAGGGAACCAAATTTGGGGAGTTATAAGGGAAATTTTTTTTATTTGGGGTTAGAGGAATATATTAAAAATACAAAGCCTTTTTTTTTTTTTTTTTTTACTTTTTTAATTTTTAATGATTTTGCCCCAAAAGAATGCAAGTTGTATATTTGGCAAAATTTAAAACATTCTTCAATAATTACAGTTAAACAGAAGCGCATTTGAGGCTATGTGAAAAGTTTCTCATTTAACAAAAAGATAATTGATCCCCTAGAAAAGAAAATTTCCCTGGATTTGATATTCACAAAAACAAAGGAAAATTTAAACGAGACCCTAACAGTCACAAAAAAATATACTCTGGTACATTTATCATAGAAATTCAAAGAGTTTTAACTCGGGGTTAGGGAAACTGCAACTAATTTTAGAGTGGGATGTTCAGCAAGTTTAATTTTAAAACCATAGAATTGCTGGGAAAAAAAAAAAACCCTAGCTATCAAAAAATTTTCCCGGGAAACAGAAAGAGCACCCCAAATCCCCCCCAAAAAACCCAGAGGGAAACTGAATGTAGGGAAGCATACAAGGTATGTATGATGCACGTACCATTGAGAAAACCCAGAAGAAGATCAGATATAGAGAGAGAGAGTGTAGGAGATAGTACAGAAGACAAAAATGGGTTACTGAATTGCTTAAAAACACAGATCTGCTGCAACAGAGGAAAGATAGTCTTAGCCGAGAGATCACCAAATTAGAGCAAAAACTTAGGATGTCGTACCTAACAGGAGTACAAAGGAACAAAGGGCCATACAGGATATTGCAGGAAACCCAAAATATTTCTATTGCTATGCAAAATCCAAGCTAAGGCCTACCTGTAGAATTGGACCATTATTGAGAGGAGATTTGTATACTGACGATGAACAGGAAATGAATGAAATTCTAAAAGAACAGTATGAGTTGGTGTTCAGCAACCCACTAAATGACAGTAAGGTAGCAAATGCAGAAACATTTTTCGCTCCAGCAGAAGGCCACACAGACCAACTGACTGACATTAGTACAAATCTCATAGATTTAAAAAAAGAAATGGATAACATGCCCACTCATCAGCACCTGGACCAGATTCACGAAATGCCCTATTTATAAAGAAGTGCAAAGTACCACTAGCACGAGCCCTCAGTATTCTTTGGAGAAAGAGCTTAGATTTAGGTGAAGTACCTGAGGCCTTAAAGAGTACAGACATAGAACCTTTGCATAAGGGAGGTAGTAGAGCATTAGCTAAAAAATTACAGACCAGTAGCCCTAACTTATTACATCATAAAAATCTTTGAAAGAGTGATGAGACAACAGATTACAAATTTCCTGGACCAGCATAACCTGGACCAGCATGATTTTAGAGCAGGACAATCATGCCTGTCACAGATGCTGAATCATTAGGACAGAATTACGGAGACATTGGAAGACGACTAAAACCCAGATGTGATATACATAGGTTTTGCAAAGGTGTTTGAGATGTGAGATCATGGAGTGATAGAGTACAAAGCGAGGGCCCGGGCATTACGGGGAAGGTAGGCAGATGGATTTTTGGGTTCCTAACACACAGAACACAAAAAGTAGTTGTAAACATAACAAGATCCAGCATCAGCAAGGTAAAAAGCTCAGTGCCCCAAGGCACTGTCCTGGCACCTCTGCTGTTTCTCATCCTCATAGCAGACATAGATAAAAACACTCGTCACACTTTTGTAACATCATTTGCAGATGACACTAAAATAAGCATCAAAGTCACTATGGTAGAAGACACTGAAAAATTGCAGGAAGACAAGCAGGGTTTTTCAGTGGGAAGTGGAGAACAACATGATGTTCACTGGTGATAAGTTCCAGCTGCTTTGGTATGGAAAGAATAAAGAACTCAAAAGGAACACTATATCCAAAATTGAAGAGAGTCACCAAATAGAATGAATGGAACAAGTAAAAGACCTGGGAATAATTATGTCAGCTGACCATTCTTTTAAAGAAAAGAACAAGGCAAAGATCATGACAGCCAGGAAGATGACGGGGTGGGTGTTGAGATCTTTCAAAACAAGGGAAATAATGCCAGTGGTGACACTCTTCAAATCTCTAGTGCTCCCTCATTTAGAATATTACTCAGTGCTGATGGCCTCATTTAAAGCAGGAGGAAATATCAGAGCTGGAACAAATACAGAGATCATTTATGGCTCACATGAGCTAGTAAAGCACCTAAATTACTGGGAACACCTTCGTCTTGAATATGTACTCATTCGAGCGGAGGAGAGAGAGATGCACGATAATATATACCTGGAAAGTACTCGAGGATCTGCTCCCAAATCTGCACACTGCCATAACAACATACTGGAGTGAGAGAGATGGGAGGAAGTGCAAAATAAACCCAGTGAGGAGCAGGGGTGCAGTAGGGACAATAAGGGAACACTGTATCAACATCTCGGGTCCCAGACTATAAATCATCTTGCCAGAAGATATCAGAAACCTGGCTAGAAGAAGTGTAGAAGCCTTCAAGAGGAAACTGAACAAGTATCTTCACCAGATGCCAGATCAACCAGGCTGTGATAGATATGTTGGGCAGTGGGCCTCCAGCAGCAACAGCCTGGTTGACCAGGCAAGCACCAGACGAGTCTGGTCTATGGCTGGGATCCAAAGAGTAGTGAAACTCTCGAAACTTTAAAGGTAGCAGTACCCCCCTCAATATATAAATTAATATTTATACACTTTATCTAATTTGTTTTTAACACTGGCTGTCTCCCACTTAGGCAGGGTGACCTGAAAAAGGAGAATTTATATAGGAGAAGGGGTTACTCGCCCTTGCTCTGGCATTTTAGTCATCTCTTACAACACGAATGGGTTACTGAGGAAGAATGCTTCACTTCCCCATGGAGACTATCTAATTATACATTCTTCTTTTTGAGATATGTATCGTATATTACTTAGGACAAATACACACACAGGTGAGACTCCTGATGACCCTCGTGTTTCCTGTTCAGGTTGCCATTCAAGTCCAGAAATGAGTGAGGGTGTAGTAGCTGGAGGAGAATCTAGTCAGCAACCTTTTCTTGGACACAGTGACTAAAGTTTCCTACTTCTCCAAGTATATCACCAGGACTCTCAGAAACTGCCCCAGTTACATCTAAAACAAGACAGGGCCCCCCCCCCAAAACCCCAGGTTTGTTCCGAAGTCAAGGGGGTTTTCTTTTTTTACTAATTTTGTTTGTCTTTTTTATTTCCCAGTACCTAATTCACATTTTTATATTTATATATTTATTTTTTTAAACCCGGGGACTTGAGCCCGGGAAATGGGAAGTACAGTGCCTGCACTCTAAAGGGGGGGGTTTTGGGGAAATTTTTGCATTTTGGAGGGGTATGTTGGTATTTTTTTAAAAATTTATGCTTTTAAAACTGTTATTTTCGGAGCACCCCCTTGCAAAAACATTTATTATGTTGGATGGGGGTGAAAGTTTTAAAATGATGATAAAAAGTATTTTTTTTTGGGGGTTTTTTCCCTTTCTTTTTGGGTCACCCTGCCTGGGGGGAAGACGGCCGCCCCTTTTTTAAAAAAAAAAAAATTCACACTTTTAGCTTCTTCTTTTCAACAAACCAGCCGCATCCCATAAAAATTATTGTAACTATGAAAAAAAATTTTTAAAGGGCGATTAAAAAGGGGGGGTTTATTGTTTCCATTCATTTTTTGCCCCCCTCACAAAAAACAGAAATTAAATATCCATTAATTTTTTCTTTCATGACGTAATTTTTCTTTCTTGGGTAAAGAATTTTTTTTCTTATACGTATTTTTTCCTTTTTTGGTCACGAAATATCTTTAAATCCACTCAGTTGAAGATTTTAAAAAACCAAAATTTCAACTGAAAAATTATTTTTTTTTCTAAATCGTTTCACCTATTTTAATAATTAATCTTTTTTTAAACTATAAATGTTTTGTAAATGTATTCCCTTTTTAAAATTTTTTTTATTTTTATTGTCAAGGGATCCAAATAAGAAAAAAATTCACCACTTTTCATTCAATGCTGTTTTTTCAGAAGTGCACAGACTTCCCGTTCATATGACCCTTTTGAAAGATTTCTAATTTGTAAACAAAAAACATTAAAACCCCAGTTTAAAAAGACCTTGTTTTTAAAGGACTTCAGAAATACAAAACAAAAACCCTGGATCATTTGATTTGGAACAATGGGAACCCCAAAATGTGTTTGGGTTTCAGAATTGGCAGTTATTTTTATGATTCCCGCAAAAAAAACTTTTTATTTTGATCTACCCCAATCACCATTACTGGGCCACAGCTCCCCAATTTAAATTTAAAACCAAATTAAAAACAAGAATTTACTGGGAAATCAGAATTATAATTGAAATTTTACAGTTTTGGTTAATTAGTGATAGTACAGTACTGTACCCCATCCTTGTTGCAAAACTTTTTATCTTGTTAAGATCGAGGTTTGCATGTGTTTATAACAGCAGGTGTGGAAAAAACACGGGAAAAAATTACACTGTTGCTCTGCATAACTTTCTGTGGGGCCCAAACCCATATATGTAAATAAAGTTATTTGTTTAATTAACCCCCAAATTGTGGTTTTGGAATTTTAAGCTTCTAGCACTTGGTTCAATTATCAGGTTAATTTGCAAATGATTCATAAAATGCTGTAATTACAAATTAAAAGGGCTTAAATTTTAAACAGCCCCTCTTTACCCTTTAAAAACGGGGTTCTGTTTTTTAAGACCCCTGCCAGTAGATGAATTCGTTTGGGAAACAAGGAGCAAACTATAAAGTAGGGGTTTGTCCCCAACCCTTTTCACCATTTATAAAAACCTTTTAAAATATATTTTTAAAAAATTTTTACAGTAATGTACTGTATATTTTTAATAAAAAAGAGTAGAGGAAAAACAGCTCTTAATATTTCATTAAATTTTGGTATGATACTGGTCAGAGAGCCCATCGTAAGTCTGATCGTCGGGAAAGGGTTATGGGCGCCCAAATGGGGGAAAAGGCTGTATTGGAAGCATTAGGGTTTTTTTTCAACATGTTGGCCATCTCCCACCAAGGCAGGGTGACCCAAAAAGAAACACTTTCACCGTTAAACACTTTCACCATTATTCAACATTTTCACCATCATTCACACACAATCACTGTCTTTTCAGAGGCACCAAGATATGACAGTTCACATGTCATGCCAAACAGCTGATATCTCAAACCCCTCGTCAAAGGTGCAGGCATTGTACTTCCCACCTCCAGGACTCAAGTTCGGCTAACCGGTTTCCCTGAATCCCTTCACAAAATATTACCCTACTCACACTCCAACAGCTCGTCAAGTCCCAAAAACCATTTGTCTCCATTCACTTGTATCTAACACCATCACAACACTCCTGCTGTATGTCCAAGCCCTTTGCACACAAAACCTCTTTTACTTTCTCCCTCCATCCTTTTCTAGGATGACCCCTACCCCTCCTTCCCTCCACTACAGATTTATACACCCTCCATATACTGTGGAATGGCAGCAAGTTTAAAAAAAAATGAATTCTTTTTGGCAGGTTTGAATTCGTGACTGGAGGAAGCAGTATTGGGTCAACGTCTCCACCACCTATCCAGTCTGCCCGAGTGCGCCACACCTCTGCCTACCAAACAGTACAGTCTTCTTGTGTTTAACTTAATTATTGGTACTGGATAGCAAAGACATATTCTTAAATGAGGCATTTATTTTGTGTATTGTGTTTCAGAATAAAAGATCTAAGAGATTGATTAGGGCAGGATAAATTGAACTATTGGCAATAGATTTTTTAAACAAACCAGCTATCTCCCACCGAGGTATGGTGACCCAGAAAAGAGGAAACACATTCACCATCATTCATTCAGTTGCTGTCAGGGAACTGGTTAGCCACACTTGAGTCCTGGTAGTGCAAAATACAGTACCTGGATTCTGAAGGAGTGATGGAGAATGTTGAGGTTTGAAGGGTCATCTGAACTGTGATGTGAGCACCCTTCTGGCAAGACGGTAATTGAATGAGTAACAGTGGAAAAGTTTTCTTTTTATCGGGCCACCGTGCCTCAGTATTATATAGGTATGTATTTTTATATTACCAAACCATTATTTGCGAGTATTATACAGTCAAAAGTTATGAATAGTTCAAATTCATTAGATGAAGTTTACATAGGTTGTTATACATAGTACAGTAATATTTTATTAGTTGTAGGGTTTGGAAAGGAAGAATTCATCTTTCCTAGGAAGGTGGCCACTCCTTTTCCTGGGGTTAACTTAACTAAGAGCTCAGCAGCAGCTTTTTTTCACAAATAGTAGGAAGATTGTCTTTATGTCAGAAATTGTAATTGGCAATGCAGCTGAAGATTGAAACTGTGAGCCATGTAAGTCTAAGTTCTGAAATGCCATGGACAATGAGGTCTGCTCTCCTATAGTAAGGCCATGAGTCTGCTTCATGAAGAATAAAAGTCACAGTACTGTGGCTGGATCAATTCACAAATAACCTACACTTAGAGAGGCAATGTTAGAAGAGATTTAGGTCCTTCTTGAACCATTATCAAGTCACAACTGAGCAAGGAAAAGCAGAGAATATAGAATACAGTTCAAGAAGAGGAAGGGAAAAGAAGGAAGTGGTAGTAGTAGTAGTAGCAATAGCCATTGTAATAGTAAGAGTAGTGGTAGAATAGTCAAACCATATCACGGGTGGGGATAGAACCCGTGATCAGAGAGTCTCAAAACTCCAGACCCTCGCGTTAGCCAGCTAGCCACAATAAGATTCATCCAACTGGCTAGCTGGCCCAGTGGCTAACGCGATGGTCTGGAGTTTTGAGACACAATGATCACGGGTTCTATCCCCGCCTGTGGTATGGTTTGTTTGCAATCATGTCATTACGATTTCGTGAGTCTAGTAGAATAGTAATAGTAGTACAAGTAGTGGTAATGGAATTAGTAAGAATTGTAGTAGTAATGGTTAATTACATCACAAGGGGATAGAGAAGCAGGTAACTCCATCCTCTAGCACACATCCCCAAGGGACTCACAGAGAAACAAAGAAAAAGGATCCCTGCTTCATGATTAGCCTGACCGTCTTTCTCTCATTTATTAATTAATAACTGTGCCAAGAAAAAGATTACTTAAAAAGGTTTGCTCTTATTGGATTATATTAGTACTGTATTTAAATTCTTTTGAAGAACTTTGCACTATGTATTCAGCCATTGTATCAGTGCAGTGTAGCTACATATAAGGTTTATTGAATTTGAGATAACTCATAATAGATGACTGTCAATGAATGAACGGAAGAATGGATGGAAATTTGAACCGTGGTCCTAAATGGTAGCGGTGTTGGATCTACTACCATCCAGGACATGGTCTGAATTCCTGTTCATTCTTCTATTTATTTATAAGGCATACCATTTACAAAAAAAAAATTCTTTAACTCACCAGGTAAAGTAAGACTGAAGATAAATCAACAATAAAGGAATTTTGGCAGGGCTGCATTATTAATGTCATTGGCAATACTACTGGTACTTATTTTTGGAATGACTCCCACTGAACAGCATGTGTAGAAAGCTGGCTTGGTGAATCATTGACTTGTATGGTTTCAAGGAAACAAATGTGGACATTTGCAAGAGTGTAGCCTCTCCTCACTTAACGACAGAGCTCTGTTCCTATGACCTCGTTGGTGAATGAATTCATCACTAAGTGAGGAGTATACTATATGGTAGTGGGTTTGTGTCAATCATCACTGATATTGTTTTAGTGTCACCTTTGCACCATTTATAACATTTCTGGTATATTTTTACATGTTTATACAGTAGTGTACTGTATATTGTGATAAACATAACAGAGGAAATCAGCTCTAATATACATTATTTTGGTATGCATACTGGTCAGAGAGCCCGTCGTAAGTCTGAGTTGTCGGTAAACAAGTACATACGTTGCTAAGTGAGGAGAGGCTGTACTCTTCTAAATTTCTTGACTTCCATTATGTTGACATTTGAGTTCCCACACTTATTATATGTTCTTTTCTGTATCGCTAACTACTGATTTATTTAACACTCCATCCCAACGAGATGAGTGTATACAATTTTTAACTCTGCTTTATTGGTGAATGAAAAATTCTTCTGGTTATAATTTTTTTTTTTTTAAACAAGTCGGCCGTCTCCCACCGAAGCAGGGTGACCCAAAAAGAAAGAAAATCCCCAAAAAGAAAATACTTTCATCATCATTCAACACTTTCACCTTACTCACACATAATCACTGTTTTTGCAGAGGTGCTCAGAATACAACAGTTTAGAAGCATATACATATAAAGATACACAACATATCCCCTCCAAACTGCTAATATCCCAAACCCCTCCTTTAAAGTGCAGGCATTGTACTTCCCATTTCCAGGACTCAAGTCTGGCTATATAAAAATAACCAGTTTCCCTGAATCCCTTCACTAAATATTACCCTGCTCATACTCCAACAGCTTGTCAGGTCCCAAATACCATTTGTCTCCATTCACTCCTATTTAACACGCTCATGCACGCTTGCCGGAAGTCCAAGCCCCTCGCCCACAAAACCTCCTTTACCCCCTCCAACCTTTTCGAGGACGACTCCTACCCCTCTTTCCTTCCACTACAGATTTATACACTCTCCAGGTTATTCTACTTTGATCCATTCTCTCTAAATGACCAAACCACCTCAACAACCCCTCTTCAGCCCTCTGACTAATACTTTTATTAACTCCACACCTTCTCCTAATTTCCACACTCCGAATTTTCTGCATAATATTTATACCACACATTGCCCTTAGACAGGACATCTCTACTGCCTCCACTGTCTCCTTGCTACAGCATTTACAACCCAAGCTTCACACCCATATAAGAGTGTTGGTACCACTATACTTTCATACATTCCCTTCTTTGCCTCCATAGATAACATTTTTTTGTTTTCACATATACCTCAATGCACCACTCAACTTTTTTCCTTCATCAATTCTTTGATTAACCTTGTCCTTCATAAATCCATCCGCTGACACGTCAACTCCCAAATGTCTGGAAACATTCACTTCTTCCATACTCCTCCACTCCAATTTGGTTATAATTATGAAAAGTATTTCCCTTATTTTCAGAAAAATAGTGGAAGCAGTAGCAACATCTCCTCAAACACTGGCATTGTGGGTACATCAAATACTGATGGGGTAGATGACAGCTCCCCCCGACCCATGCGAAGAGACAGAGGGCATACTATCTCTGACATGAATCCTGCCTCTCGTAAAATGCATGGAAGAGCACCAGCTTCGTCTAGAAAAAGGAATGCAAGTAAAGAAGCTAAAGGAGGTGTCACACCAAGGTATATAGATATTAGGGTAATATTTTGTGAAGGTACAGTGGACCCCCGCTTTACGATCAGCTCCCAATGCGACCAATTATGTAAGTGTATTTATGTAAGTGCGTTTGTATGTGTATGTTTGGGGGTCTGAAATGGACTAATCTAATTCACAATATTCCTTATGGGAACAAATTCATTCAGTAATGGCACCTGAACATACTTCTGGAATGAAATAATATCGTAAACCGGGGGTCCACTGTATTTAGGAAACTGGTTAGCCGCACTTGAGTCCTGGGGGTGGGAAGTACAGTGTCTGCACTCTAAAGGAAGAGGTGGGGATATCTGCTGTTTAGAGTGACATTTGTGCTATTGTATTTGTGCCTCTGGAAATAGTGATAATGTGAATGATGGCGATTTTTTTTTTTTTTTGGGGGGGGGGGGGTGTCAACCTGCCTCAGTGGGAAACGGCCATTGTGTTAAAAAAAAGTCCACTATAAAATGCACAAATAACCCGCACATAGAAGAGAGAAGCATGTGATGATGTTTCAATCAAACTTTGACCACTGACAAGTTGGACCGAAACATCGTCATAAGACTCTTTCTCCTCTGTGCTGGTTATTTGTATATTGTTCCAGTCACAGTATTGTGTCTTTTTGTTCTTTCCACTATAAAATATTGGCTCTTTACTTAATACTATTTTTTTGAACCAGGGTGCCTCACACAGCTTCTGCTCTGTTTTGGCAATTTCACCATGAAAATCATCTTGTTATTTCTCTCATTTCATTAGTTCACCTTACAGTGCAGTAAACCTTCAATTTAACCTTTAAACTAGTATGTACAATTTTTTGTACCTTCAAATCTGCCACCTGCCAATATTTTTGACCTCATTACAACTCTTTGGGTCTTCAACACTCTCCCTCTGTCTATCTCTTTCTCTCCCATTCTCATTCTTTCCCTTTCTCTTTCTCTTTTCTTTTTTTTTTTTACTTTTAATTTTTTTCATGCAATCTGTACTCTTTGTATGCCTTATTACTGCCTTTTCCAATTTCCATTGCATATTACTGTAGTACTTGAAAACTCTTATTTACATCATTCATTTGTTGTTCCATTTATTCATTTATTAAAGTCTTTGTTGTCAGGATTTAATATTACCTTGCCCCATCTGCAAATACGTTGATATAGTTTTTATTCCTTCTGGCACAGGTCATTTATATGAACTTGATTCATTGTGTGATTGTGTTAAGAGTGAGCAGAGACAAATGGTTTTTGGCACCATAAGCTGTTGTAGTGTGAGCAAGTTAATATTTTGTGAAGGGATTCAGGGAATCTGGTTAGCTGGACTTGAGTCCTAGGAGGGGTGGGAAGTACAATGAGGTGGGGATATTTGCTATTTGGAGTGACATTTGAACCGCTGTATCTGTGCTCCTCTGGCAAGACAGGGATAATGTGAACGATGGTGAATGTGTTTCTTTTTTGGGTCACCTTGCCCCAGTGGGAGACGGCCAACATGTTAATTCTTTAACTGTCAAACTGTTGATCTATGTTTTACTGCTAGCACTCATAACATAGATCAGTGTTTTAAAGGGTTAAAAGAAAAAAAAGGGAAAAACTTTTTTACATATTCCAATTATAATGAGCTTGATCAAGTTAATGGTAGATGCTGTATGCAAAAATGCAAGTGTATATATATTGCTACAGTCAGAGGGAGGAGGAAGATGATGGCAGTTCTTAATATATGAGCAGTTAGTGTTGTAAGGCATCTCCACTCCCATGATACACTGCAATATCTACACTCCAGTGCTTTTTTTTTTTATCCACAGCGCCACAAGGACGCACAAAAGATATTGAAGTGAAAGGAAGTTGAAACATATAGTACTGGAGAATGTTTTCATATGAACACTTAGTATGCTGTATCTATGCATGTTCACAATTACTCAAAGCCTCCATCAATAATATAATTTTCAAATACTTTTGTATGTCAGAACTTCTTTTCTAAAGTAGATAGTGCTTTATTGTATATCATAAGGCAACTTAATGATGAACACGTGAAGTATTTTGAATATAGTATCTTGATTGAGTATTGCTTCATATGTAAATTAATATTTTTTTTTCTTGGCAGCTTTGTGTTCCTTCAGCTCTACTATGAAGGAACTTTTGTAGTAGACAAGTCCTCGCCACTCTTACTTCCAACTTATCAACCTGAGATACAGCGGGCAATGAGAGTACTTGACCTTATGAGACCTCAAGAAACTCACAAAATAGGGGTATTGTATGTGGGTCAAAACCAGACTACAGAGAAGGAAATCTTAAGGAATTCCTTTGGTTCTCTCCGTTATGCACTTTTTCTTCAGGTAATGTCCATGAAAAAAAAAAAATGTATGCAAGTGGTTTTATATATGCCTTTTCCCTTATCCCATCCCATTAATTAAGGACAGTGTAAATAGCAAAAAGGCACAATACCGTGACTGGAACAATACACAAATAACCCGCGCATAGGAGAGAGGAGCTTATGACGATGTTTCAGTCTGACTTGAACCATTTGCAAAATCACAGGGAGCACGAAAGTAGTGTAAGACTTGCCGACACCAACAATGCTCTTTTTCTGTCATGTCAGAGATCACAGTCATCCTATTTACTGGTCTGCTAAAACTGTCTACCCTACTTCTAATTTTCACAGGCACTACCTGGTTGAATTCTCCCTTATACACAGCTTTCCTTGCATGAATCTTAGTCCTTGCTTTGTGTCTGTAAATGCTTTCTTTTCCCATTACATTGTAAAATGCTCTAAACTTCAGACCTGTGACTTAACCTGATTCATTTTTCTCCTCCCTCTTTCCCTTTCCTTTTTCTCCTTTGGGTTTTCTTTCTTCTGCCTTGGGTGTTTGGTCAATTATTATTTGCTCCCTTCTCTGTGTTTTTGTTCCTACCTTAGCTCCCTTGCAGTGCTCCTCTTTCTTAATCTTTGACTGACTCCACTACGATTACTACTACTACTACCACCTCTACCACTGCCTCTCTTCTTCCTTTCCTGCTACCTCTCTCGTCCCATCCCTGTCTGCTGGCTTATATATGCCCCCTCATTCTCTCCTTTCTGTTATTGTGACTGTAATTGGCCCAAGTTGGACTGAAACATCATCATAAGCTCCTCTCACCTATGTGTAGGTTATTTGTGTAAGGACCATGTATTGATGCTGAAGGGCTCTTGATCTCGGGAATAAGGACTGCCTTCTCATTCTATGGATCAAACATGATTACCTCTAATTTCCTAGGTGTTGAATGACCCATAAGGGTTTAGCACTACCAAGAAGTATTTCATATCTTTTCACTAACATTTTCAGGCAAGCAGGAAGAGCTTTGTATCTTCTCACTAGTAATTATAATAATGTAATGATCTGTGATCTGAAAATAAGTGACACTATTTCAGGTTGCCAAAGATTTTGAGTGACTTCATGGCTCATACCTTTATGGAGAAATAGGAAAGATAAGAGTATGCTAGGCTAGATTTAGAGGGTGATATTCCCATGATGGAACAGATTGGAAGGTAGAACACTTGTATAATTTTCGTTGTGAATGCAAGAGTTGAATTAGTCAAGTGTAAGAGGTATCTTTAAAGTTGCAGTATGTAAGAGTCATACATTTGAAGAAATGAAAAGTATCCATATGCTTGTTTTATTGGTTAAAGGTTTGAAGCTCTGCAAACTGCAAGCACTACACCTCCCAGTTTCCAGAATTCATCCCATTGGGTACTAGTCAGAGCTCTGTAGGTTCTTTTCTGAATCTCCTAATAACACTGTCATCTATGAACAGCAACTGTAACAATTCTCAATACAAATCTAATTTGTAAAATTTAGGATTTCACCTTTCTCAAACACTTGAGCATTCACCTCTCTTACCCCATTTACTTAAACATAAAATAATCAAGATAACATTGCATGGTAAAATCTCAAGTCATTCTAAAAACCTTTCTCCTGCGAAAGATATTATAGCTTTCATCAGCTTAGCACACACTCCATACATTTCCAGAATGTGGCATAATAATAATAAGAAGAATGATGATGATGATGATATATTAAATTCTGTTATTTTTGAGAACCTGCTCTTTTAAGAATTAGGAGGTGTGGAGTTACTAAAAGCATTATTCAAAGGGCTGAAGAGGGGTTGTTGAGGTGGTTTGGTCATTTAGAGAGGATGGAGCAAAATAGGATGATTTGGAGGGTGTATAAATCTATAGTGGAGGGGAGGAGGGGTAGGGGGTCATCCTAGGAACAGATGGAGGGAGGGGGTAAAGGAGGTTTCGTGTGCAAGGGGCCTGGACATGCAGCAGGCATGTGTGAGCGTGTTAGATAGGAGTGAATGAAGCCGAATGGTCTTTGGGACTTGACAAGCTGTTGGAGTGTGAGCAGAGTAATAGTTTGTGCAATGATTCAGGGAACCCGGTTACCTGGACTTGAGTCCTGGAAGTGGGAAGTACAGTGTCTGCACTTTAAAGGAGGTGTTTGGTATATTGGCTGTTTGGAGTGACATCTAAACTGTCATATCTGGGCACCTCTGCAAAGCCGGTGATTATGTGTGAATGATGGTGAAAGTGTTTCTTTCTTTTTTGGGTCACCCTGCGTCAGTGGGAGATGGCTGGCATGTTAAAAAAAAAATTTTAGATAAAGGTAAAGAAGTTATCATTGCCTTTATCTACTTGGAAAAGGCATTTGATATGGTGAATAGGGGAGCAATGTGGCAGGTATTGCAAGAGTATGGAGTAGGTGGTAGGCTACTTAAGCAATTAAGAGTTTTTATGAGGTTACTGTGGCACAGGTTAAGGTATGTAGGAAAGGGAAATTATCTTCCAGCAAGAGTAGGCCTTAAATAGGGATGTATGATGATACCATGGTTGTTTAACTTATTTATAGATGGAGCTGTGAAAGAAATGAATGTTAAGGTGTTAGGGAGAGGTGTAGGATTAAATGAAAAAGAACTAATACAAAGTGGGAGTTGTTACAGTTGCATTTTGCTGATGACACTGTGTTGTGTTTTTGGGAGATTATGAAGAGAAGTTGCAGTTGTGAGTGGACAAATTTGGGAAACATGTAAAAGAAGGAAATTAAAAGTGAACGTAGGAGAGAGCAAGGTAACAGAAAATTTAGGTAATGAAAAATTAGATATCAGATTGGAAGAAGGGAGTATGGAGAAAGTAGTTTTTTTTTTAACACATTGGCCGTCTCCCGCCGAGGCAGGGTGACCCAAAATGAAAGAAAAATCCAAAAAGAAAGAAAAATACTTTCATCATCATTTAACACTCACCATCACTCGTACATAATCACTGTCTTTGCAGAAGCGCTCAGATATGACAGTTTAGAAGTCCCTCCAAACTGCCAATATCCCAAACCCCTCCTTTAACGTTAACCTTTGAGGGTCAAGAGGTCAAAATATTTTTGAAAAAAAAAAAAAAAAAATCTTATGAATTGATAGAGAATCTTTTTCCAATCATAATGGCACCAAAAGTATGAAAATTGATGGAAAACCTACGGGCTTATGGTCTTGCGAAGTTAGTGGTCTCGACGATATTTATGCATTGGCGATTTCACCCATTTTGAGCCCTATTTTTGGCCAATTCCAATGTTCCAGTCAACTAAAATCATAGCTATTTTGCTAGAACTCCATTTGTTCTATCGATCGAGCACAGAAACCGCCCATTTACCGATTTCAGTTACCCAATAAAGTGGTCAGAATTTGGCAATTTGGCCAATTTCACACAAATTTCAAAATAGGGTCCAGAATAAACAAGACAGACATTCCTGGCACTAAAATAACATATCTGTTCAATAGTCACGTCTCCAGGTCCCTCTTACATTACTTTTCCTTTCCATTTTGAATTTTTATTCTCACAAATAATAGATTTACTTCTATGTATACTACTGCATCATTGCAAAATGGTATAAATAATATCAGTGCACTTGTGAAAGAATATTAAACTCACCAGTTGGCGTGTATTGGACTTGTGGCATGATTTGTTTTCTTGTGAACATCGGCAAAAATTTAACATTTCTGCTACTTTGAGCTCAATTTTAAGGTACTTGTCTGTATGAAACCAATCAAAATCATCTCTATTTCTGTAATATACATGTATCTTCCATTCTATCAGATGAGACCAAGAAAATGAGAATACAACCATAAATACCATACGTAAATACACTCAAAAGTCGCTGTTTTAAACCAAAAACATGGTTGGAGTTTTTTTTCTCATAATGCACTGTGTGCTTCAGGATTTTTTTTATACTGCGCACACTGACCATGCAGACCCATTCTTTCATATGTAGGGCTGGCAGCTTCCACCAGATTTGAAGGCGCTAGAATTTACACGTACAAGTACGTGACCGACCCTCAAAGGGTTAAAGTGCAAGCATTGTACTTCCCATTTCAAGGACTCAAGTCTGGCTAGCCGGTTTCCCTGAATCCCTTCGCAAAATATTACCCTGCTCACACTCCAACAGTTCATCAGGTCCCTAAAACCATTTGTCTCCATTCACTCCTATCTAACATGCTCATGCATGCTTGCTGGAAGTCCAAGCCCCTTGCCCACAAAACCTCCTTTATCCCCTTCCTCCAACCTTTTTGAGGATGACCCCTACCCTGCCTTCCTTACCCTACAGATTTATTCGCTCTCCAAGTCATTCTACTTTGTTCCATTCTTTCTAAATGACCAAACCACCTCGACAACCCCTCTTCAGCCCTCTGACTAATACTTTTAGTAACTCCACACTACCTCCTAATTTCAGATATTTGGGAGTGGACTTGTCGGTAGATGGGTCTATGAAAGATGAAGTGAACCATAGAACTGACGAGGGCAAACACGTGGGTGGTGCATTGAGGCATCTTTGGAGATAGAGTATTATTCATGGAGGCAATATGGGGAATGTATGAGTGTATAGTGGTACCAAAATTCTTGTATGGGTGTGAAGCATCAGTTATGAATGTTGCACTGAGGAGTAGGCTAGAGGCAGCAGAGATGTGTCGAAGGGCAATATGTGGTGTGAGTTTTAAGCATAGAATTCATAGTTTGGAGATAAGAATGAGAGGGCATGGTTACTAAAAGTATTTTCCAGAGGGCAGAGGAGGGGTTGTTGAGGGGGTTTGGACATTCAAGAAAGGATGGTGCAAAACTGTATAAATCTTTAGTGGGTGGGAGGAAGGTGGTGTATGGGTCACCCTAAGAAAGGTTGGAGGACAGGGGTGGGGGGCAAAAAGAGGTTTTGTTTGTAAGAGGCTTGGTGTGTGTGTGAATGTGTTAGATAGGAATGAGTGGAGGAAAATGGTTTTTATGACTGGACAAGTGGTTGGAGTGTGAGCACGGTAGCATTTATGAAAGGATTCACGGGAAACCAGTTAGCCGGATTTAGTCCTGGAAGTGGCAAGTACAATGCCTGTGCTCTGAAGTAGGGGTGGGGATATTGTGGTTTGGAGTGTCACCTGAGCTGTAATGTTGGTGCACCTATGGTAAGATGGTGGAATGAGTGAGTGATGGTAAAATTGTTTCTTCTTTTTCGGGTCATACTACCTTGGTGGAAGACCCCCAGTGTGTTAATAATAAAAAAAAAATAGTAATAATAATAATATTATTATTATTATTGATGTTGGTTATTATTAATAATAATATTTAAAAATTTTGGGGTTTTTCTTTATTTCTGGGTCACCCTGCCTCGGTGGGAAACGGCCGACATGTTAAAAATAATTAATATTATTTTTTATCACTGGCAATTTTCCCACTAAAGTAGGGTGACCTGGAAGAGAAACACTTTCACCATCACTGCCTTGCCAGAGGTGCATATATACTGCGGTTCAGATGCCCGTCAAAACTTCAAATATCCCCACCCCATCTTTAGAGTGCAGGCACTCTAATGTGTATTTCCATGTCTGTGTTTTTTAGAGATCAAGTTACAGGTAGTGAGCAGCTTTGTCACACTCTTGAACTTCTGCCTGAGTTTCCTTTTTCTACCTCTTCCCTTGAAGTATTCCACCTGCTCACTACCCTTCTCATGATAAATGTCTTTTTAAACCTATGTTAGAGCATTGCACCCGCTCATCACCTACCTGGTTATAAGTTTCTTCTTAGTGCATTCCATCTGCTCACCATTCCTCTATTTTCTTATATCTCTTAGTGCATTCATTCCACTTGCTTGCCACCCTCCTGTTAAGTTTTTCCATATACATCTCTTATTTTGTTTCCATACATCTCTCTATTTTATTTTGTTTCCATTTGTGCCCTCTTGTCCTGGTCATACAATTTTCTTTTCATGTGTGTACATTATAATGAGTTATGGTAATATAATAACATTAAATATTAGTCTTTTTTTAATAACATATTTGTTATTAATAATATTGATTCATGGTGTATGCATATTTGTGTATGTGTGTATATATATTAGAATAAGGGTACTAATAGCATTTATAATTACAGGGTTTAGGTTCAGTACTTGAGTTGAGTTCTGTATCACAAGAGGAAGTGTTCCTTGGTGGTCTAGACACCAAGGGTAATGATGGCCAGCTGGTTCATGTATGGCATGATGATGTTATGCAGGTTTGTTTCTCATAGTCTTCTTTTGCGGTATTATAATGTTTGTCTTCTGAGATGTATTCAGTGAATGGTGGTAAATGAGTTTATTTTTTTCTTTAGTCATCCCTACCTTGGTGGGGAATGGCCATTAACCCCTTCACTGTCCGGACAGATCCCTGAAATTAATATTGCTCTCAGTGTCCACTTTTTTAAAAAATAAATTTCCTTTGAAACGGTAGATAATATTCTCTCTGCAAGAATTAACACCAAAAGGACAAAATTTGATGGAAAACTTACAAAATTACACAGGCACAAAGCTAGTGGTCTAGGCGCAATTTACGCAGCAACAATTTTGCCCACTTTGAGTCCTGTTTTATGCCACTATCATTACTCCATTTGACCAGATTCTTAGCTATTAAATTATTATGCATTTCATTCTATTGATTGAGCACAAGAAACCACTCATTCAGCCATTACAACTGCCCTATAAAGTGCACAAAAGTCAGTTCTACGTGATGATCACTGAAAGGGTTAAGAGGACAAAATAGCAAAGAATAGTTGTCATACAATAGAATAAAATTTAAATAGTCAAATATACTACAGTTTATACAGTTGGGCATAAGGGGTTGTAATTAATGTGTGTTTACCAGTCATTTTCTAACCTTCTTACTTTGTGTTTAAGACCTAATTATTAATGTGGGGGCTCGGAATGTATATTGTCACTCAACCCCCAACTCGACAGTGATTAAAGTTTTTCAACTCTATATTTCCCTTCAACTTAAGGAAATTCAGGGAAACCATTAGCCAGACTTGAGTCCTGGAGGTGGGAAGTGCATTGCCTGCACTTTAAAGGAGGGGTTTGGAATATTGGTTGTTTGGAGTGACATCTAAACTGCCATGTCTGGGCACCTTTGCAAAGACAGCGATTATGTGTGAGTGATAGTGAAAGTGTTTCTTTCTTTTTTAGGTTACCCTGCCTCAGTGGGAGATGGCTGGTGTGTTAAAAAAAAAAATTCTTCAAGGAAGGGTTGCTTTGATTCTCGTAAATTGCTCTTGATGCAAAGAATTCAGTATAGTTTTCTTTGGATCAATTCTGATTACACTACATTTTATTTCTGTATGATCCTTCAGGTATGTTGTATGATCATTATGGGTTATACATCATTTCTGTGAAACACAATCTGCATAGTATGCAGAAACGAATTTGTGTTAAAAGAACTTGTGTTGCCTGTTGGCTGATTGTGCTTTATTTATTTTTCTATATTTTTACACTATAGAATTAAACAGCTAATAGTCTATTGAAGGATATGTTCTGAATAATTTTTCTTAGCCTGAAATAGTTTAAAATATTATCTTATGCCAATTATTTTGTACAGGTTGTTTTTCATGTTGCAACACTAATGCCAACTAAGGAATCAGACCCTAACTGTAATGGAAAGAAACGTCACATTGGCAATAATTATGTTACAATTGTTTATAACGAGAGTGGTCATCCTTACAATATTAACACCATAAAGGTAAGCACTTTATTATATTGTATTAGAGTATCCAAACAAAAATAGGGATATTGTAGATGTTATTGAGACTAGGCTTGTGTGAGTGTGTTAGAATGGAGGCGAATGGTTTTTGGGGGTCTGTGAGCTGAAGAGGGGTTGTTGAGGTGGTTTATACATTCAGAGAAGATGGGACAAAATTGGATGACTTGGAGGGCATACAAATCTGTAATGAAGGGAAAGTGGGGTAAGCGTAGTCCTAGAAAATGTTGGAGGGAGAGGTTAAAGAGGTTTTGTGTGCAAGGAGCTTAGACACCCAGCAAGCATGTGTGAGCATGTTCGACAGGAGTGAGTGAAGGTATGTGGTTTTTATGACTTGAGGTGCTGTTGGAGTGTGAGCATGGTAACGTATAAAGGGATTTAGGGAAATCGGTTAGCTGGACTGTAGTACTGGAGGTGGGAAGTACAGTGCCTGTACTCTAAAGGAGGGATGAGGATATTTGCATTTCCTATATAAAATTTACAACAGTTGTTAATTTTAAACACAATTTGCCATTATCTCCACTCTCTTCCTTATTAATACACACGTTACACTTGTTAATTCCTCCGAGGATCAATGTCCCTGCAGCCTGGATTGGACCAGGCTTCCTAAATTAGAAACAAACTGCTGCATGAAGGAGAACTACAGGGTGTTCACAACAGAAATGCAACCCATGAAGAAAATTGCATCCCCTTAAAATACATATTTAAATACATTAACTTCATACTTTTAATCAGAATAAGGTTTTTTCTCAAGCTGAATGAAGGAAAGATCAAGGTATAGTAACTTTACCTCTGTCTTTTTTTTATTCACTCTTGGTTGCTATGTTTTATACACTCTTTCACACATTTAGCTAATTGCACCTACTACACTTGCATATATATTGTCGACTACTAAAGTGTTAAGATCCTATATCAAGAATGTGGATGGGAAAGATACATGCAGACTTATAATGTAGCATGGAGAACAGTATTACAAGCAAATCCTGTTTGTTATATAGTTCTTTTTCTTTAACAGGGTCAGTTCAACCACACAGTTGTAGAAATAGTTCCTGCAGATCACTCCACTAATAGTGTTGGCCTTTTGTGCCGACCAGAGCTGATGGAGTTTGTTGGAGGAGGGGGTAATCCCAGGCTAGTTTCAGATACTAATCTTCCTATCCTGGTGAGACAGCTGGCTCTTCATGCTGATGTAAGTAAAAATATTAGTATAACTATTTAAGTATTAAACAAGTTATAGTATACCATAGTTTTACTTCAAGAAATAGAAAGAAATGTTAATTATTTACAAATTCATTGTATGAGAATTGAATGAGTCATTTGTTTGAAGCAGATTTGAGAGGTATGAAAGATTTTTAGAGGAAGTAGAACACTTCGACTCGTGGATCTAAGAAACTTTTGACAGGCTGGTGTGATTGACCCATACTATACAGTGGAACCTCTGCTTACGAACTTAATCCGTTCTGTGACCTTAATCGTATCCTGATTTGTTTGTATGCTGAGTTAATTTTACTCATTTAAATTAATTGAAAAGTCATTAATCCATTCTGGTGGAATTCCTGCTCTCAGAGGCAGGAAAAATGCTCTTCAATATAATGCTAATATCAACTCTACGGCTTATTTATCTATCACAGTTGATCTAATATGGCATAAAAAATATATAAATAACATAGAAACATGATATATACTCTAGAATGAATAAAATAGGCCATAATATGGCGAGTGGAGGCGGCCATAACCACTCCCGCATTGTTGTGGTATTCGCTGCCATCTAGTGACGGCCTTTTGAAGCCGTCTATTATTGTAATTATTATTATAGTACATTATTATTATTATATTAATTTTTTTTTTTAACAAGTCAGCCGTCTCCCACCGAGGCAGGGTGACCCAAAAAGAAAGAAAATCCCCAAAAAGAAAATACTTTCATCATCATCATTCAACACTTTCACCTCTCTCATACATAATCACTGTCTTTGCAGAGGCACCTACATACAACAGTTTAGAAGCATATATAAAGATATAACATATCCCTCCACACTACCAATATCCCAAACCCCTTCTTTATAGTGCAAGCATTGTACTTCCCATTTCCAGTACTCAAGTCCAGCTATATAAAAATAGCCGGTTTCCCTGAATCCCTTCACTAAATATTACCCTGCTCACACCCCGACAGCTTGTCAGGTCCCAAAAATCATTTGTCTCCATTCACTTCTGTCTAACACGCTCACACACGGTTGCTGGAAGTCCAAGCCCCTCGCCCACAAAACCTCCTTTACCCCTTCCCTCCAACCTTTTCAAGGACAACCCTTACCCTATTTTTCTTTATCTAAATCATTTGATACTCCTTACTCTTATCTATGTTCTCTTGCAACTTTCTACCTTTACACACCCTCTCAAACTCGTCCACTAACCTTTGCAACTTTTCTTTAGGATCTCCCATAAGCACAGTATCATCAGCAAAAAGTAAGTGTGTCAACTCCCATTTTGTATTTGATTCCCCATAATTTAATCCCACCCCTCTCCCCAACACCCTAGGATTTACTTCTTTTACAACCCTATCTATAAATATATTAAACAACCACGGTGACATTACACATCTCTGTCTAAGACTTACTTTTACCAGGAAGTAATCTCCCTCTCTTCTACACACCCTAACCTAAGCCTCACTATCCTCATAAAACCTCTTTACAGCATTTAGTAACTTACTACCTATTCCATATACTTGCAACATCTGCCACATTGCTCCCCTATCCACTCTATCATATGCCTTTTCTAAATCCATAAATGCTTTGAAAACTTCCCTACCTGTATCTAAATATTGTTCACGTATATGCTTCAGTTGATCAACACATCCCCTTCCCACTCTAAACCCTCCTTGTGGTATACTCAGTAAACTTATTCTCCTATAATTTTTGCAGTCCCTTTTGTCCCCCTTTCCTTTATATAAAGGAACTATATATGCTCTCTGCCAATCCCTAAGTACCTTCCCCTCTTTCATACATTTATTAAACAAAAATGCCAGCCACTCCAACACTGTGTCCCCCCTGCTTTTAACATTTCTGCCACAATCCTGTCAGTTCCAGCTGCTTTACCCCCTTTCATTCTACGTAATGCCTCATGCACCTCCCCCACACTCACATCCTGCTCTTCTTCACTCCTAAAAGATGTTATACCTCCCTGGCCAGTGCATGAAATTACCATCTCCCTTTCTTCATTGACATTTAAAAGTTCCTCAAAATATTCCCACCATCTACCTAATACAGTGGTCCCTCGATTATCGACGGTAATCCGTTCCTGGAAGCCGGTCGATTATCGAAATGGTCGATTTACGAATCAATTTTCCCCATAAGAAATAATGTAAATTCAATTAATCCGTTCCTGACACCCAGAAGTATTAAAACAAAAAAATTTTTTACATGAAATATTCATGTAGTACATAAACAATACAATGGGAAATGACGAATGAAACATTAACAGCATAACACTTACCTTTATTGGAGATTCTTCTTAGTGTATGGGAGACTGGAGGAGGAGGAGAGAGTGGATTGTTTATAGTTTGGAAGGGGAATCCCCTTCCAGCAACACCTCAGGTACCATTTGCTTTTCTGGGGTTGCTTCTTTTCTCTGTTTCTTAATGCCACTAGGACCAGCTTGAGAGTCACTGGAGCCCTGTCTCGCAAAATAACTGTGCAGAGAGCTCTGTTTCTGGTGTCTCTTTAAAACTTCCCTAAAATGGGCCAAGACTCTGTCACTGTACAAGTTGCCGATATGGCTTGCAACATCCTTCTCTGGGTGATGTTTCTCCATAAATCTTTCCATCTTACCCCACATAGTAAAAATCTCCTTAATTTCTGAAGGTTTGGCACTAGGAGCTTTCTTTGGAGCCATGGTAGCTTATTTAGCACTTAAATAACTTGCAAGCACTAAAATAAATGAAATATTATGAAATATTTCACTGGAGCACGTGAGAGGACCGCCGCTAACTGGTAAACAATGGCACACTGGCTGGGAAGGAAGGCTGAGGCGGGTCGAGGCCCGCTTACCTCGTGCATACGCGTCTGGGACGACGGGTCGAGACGGGTCGATATACGAATTTCGGTCAATTTCCGAGTCAATATTTTGTCGAAAAAACCGGTTGATTTCCGAAATGGTCGACTTTCAGGCCGGTCGATTATTGAGGGAGCACTGTACCTCCAGCTCCCCATCTACTAACTCCCCTACTCTTTTTTTGACTGACAAATCCATTCGTTCCTTAGGCTTTCTTAACTTGCTTATCTCCAAAATTTTTTCTTATTTTCAGCAAAATTTCTTGATAGTGCCTCTCCCACTCTATCATCTGCTCTCCTCTTGCATTCTCTCACCACTCTCTCCACCTTTCTTTTGCTCTCCATATACTCTGCTCTTCTTATAACACTTCTGCTTTGTAAAAACCTCTCATAAGCTACCTTTTTCTCTTTTATAACACCCTTTACTTCATCATTCCACCAATCACTCCTCTTTCCTCCTGCACCCACCCTCCTATAACCACAAACTTCTTCCCCACATTCTAGTACTGTGTAGTTATTATTTTGAAGATGAAACTAAAATAGATATTTACTGTGATGATAATGAAAGTGGATGGTTAGATGAGAGATTAGAAATCCCAAAAGTGGGCTTACTAGAGTAGTAATCAAGGGATGTGCAGTGAGGTTGTTAAAGGGGGTGTGTGTTCACAGTACCACCTCTCATCAGTAGCATACATTGTATCATTATACAGTAGATTATCAGTTATTCAACCCTCCTTGGGGAAGGTGGAAGGAGATATGTTGGATTTTCATCCATGGCAGAATATCACATTATATATTTTTATGGTACATTCCTTTATAGCAGTCTCTCTTCAGGTGCTGGATAAAACAAATAAGACCCTAATAACACAATAATTGATGATCTACTGTAATAATTCTGTAGTGCTAAACTGGTATGTATCATTCAGAGCTACAAAATATGTATGACATGGATGGAAGAGGATAAGTGATATGTTTTTAGTTGAAATGATGTTCAAGCTTTTATGATGCATTTCAAATAAAAAGTTTTAGAGGTAAATTAAATTATTGTTTTTATTGTGGAGAAAAGTTACTGAATATTTTCATTATAACTAATTGCTTTCTACTTACAGCTTGCATCAACAATTTGGGAGTCATTGAATCGTCCACCTTACAAACCATATGCTAGCAATTGGCTGGAGAGATTGAGGAAGATCAGAAAAATCCGCCAGATGGTGCTTGAAGAAAATGAAGGACACCAAAACTCGTACACTATGGATTTCACTGACTTGACAGACCCAGATAGGGTAAAGAGTGGAGGTGATGGATATTGGCATCATATCTTAAGTTGAGGGTAGAGAGATTTCTGAAGTAAATACTAGTGCTCAAATAGTGGCTCTGTTAGTAAAGGTTTGCATAATTTATGCAAGCTAGAATGGAGATTCATTCATGAAATGAATGTAAGCACTGGGTTGTAAATAAAAACGTATGTGGCCAGTAAGTGGTTGCACAAATCTGTTGAAACAAGCATTTTAGTTGTGTGATTTACAAAATTATTTTTTTAATTTTGTTTATTTTTTTGTTTCAATAGCTTGTAAATTTTAATTTGGTATTTGTCTGTCTGGAAGACAAACTTGTAAGTCATTTAGTACATTTTAATATTGTTCAGTATTACATAACTAATGACTTTATGTAAGCCTTGTTTTATCAAAGAAATTCTTACATTTTGTGCCACTTGCAGCTTGACTGCCACCACTACGAAATATGAATTTTGGACTGAAGTTACCATTAATATAAAGTGTGATTATGGCTTAATTTTAATTTGTTAAACATTTTTTGCAAAGTAAAAAGCTACCTACATTCAAGTTTTATTGTCCTGTAATTTGCCAAGCCAATTCAGCAAAATTATACATCATAAACTGATGTTTAAGTTGAGTATTTTGTAATCTTTGGTGAAGGTAACAAGTGCAAAACAAATCTATAACATAAGTAGAGCTTTATATTATACAGTGAAATGTAATCTGTAAGTAAAGGTTTGTTCTGTACATAGTGTCTTGATACCACATTTGTCCCTGTCTAGGAGGTTCCTTGCTGTGTTAAAGGTGCTCTTTGATCTGAGGAATTGGGCCATTATACCTCTTCCTCAGAGCAAATCTAAATACCCTACCTCAACTCTTCCCTTTTATTTGGCTTCATTAGTGGGAAAATTTCCCTCCTATTTGTGGAATCCAGCTTCTAGATAGGAAATAATGACTATTTTGGTCTCAGGACTGAAACATATCCGCAATCACCCTGTTTTAGCACAGCGTCTGTTGGGAGCTGCAGTGGTCATGTTGCTCCACCTCATGGAAATTAGATGATTTTTGGGCAGGTGACACATTGGGAGGCCATCTTGTAGATCCTCCAGTGACCATAATATTACAGGAGATTGCCTGCAGGTCCAGAAGGGTCAACTGTAGGTGTATGTCTCCTGGTGTTCTTTCTGGTTCACCCACCTTTATTATTATATGAAAAGATGATTGCAGGCTGTTTCACTGTGCCTAGTTAGGTTAATTCTGGAGGTGCCATCCTGGTGGTGGGCACTGAAGGCAGTTTTCAGGGAACAGCAGCATTACCCATCACAGTGGAGGTAATTGTGGTTCAGGATGATTTCATAGTTGACTCAGTTGCTTCTTAACTGCCCCTACTTTTTTTTTTTTCCACCTTATTAAAAATAAGAGCACTCACACTCCTGTAACCCCAGTGACTGCAACACGTTTTATCGACCTCAGCACAGAACCTGAGTGACCACATAATAACACAAGAACTAGGACTCATGCTAGCTAAGGCATCTACTTCCACCCTCTGCAGAGCCTAAAACTGAGTGTGGTGTCCACTGACACCACACTCAGCTCATGCAGTGGAACTGATGTCATCCCTCACATGGGAGTCCAGCAAAACTTCACAGAAGGGAACGGCACTATTCGTTCTCAAACATGTAACGCAGACTTCAAGGTATCTGGGGATAATTTAATCACAAATTTTGTAGTAAACCCATATGAAAAGAAGGGGAAAAAGGTGATTAGAGAAAATGGGATCTTTTTAAGGGTCCAGCTGTATAGCCCTTGTGGTTCAGCGCTTCTTTTTGATTATTATTATAATAATAATTTTAAGGGTCCATTCGTCTGAAGACAGGTCACTACTATCCTGACAAAGAATTGGAATACCTCCCAACCACCAGAATCAAAACATATCTGCCCAGCTCACAGATGGAGAAAATACTTGAGAAATATTGTTTCTGTATAAAAATTAAGTTAATTATTAATTTTGCAATGAAATATAAAAGAATATAGGGGGGGGGAGGGGTGAAGCACCAAATGTTAGCTTCCCTGTTTTCAAGAATCTAAATACTGAATACAGTTTTTTTCTCTGTTTTTATACATAAAAGAGAGGCAGGGGAGATGCTGTGTTTGAGTGTAATGTGTGGTGTGAATATGCAGAAAATTTGAAGTTTGGAAATTAAAAGGTGTGGAGTTACCAGAAGTATTATTCAGAGGGCAAAGGAGGGGTTATTGAGGGGGATTTGGACATTTAGGGAGGATGGAGAAAAATAGACTAACTAGGAGGGTGTGTAAATCTGGGAAGAGGGAAGGAAGGGCAGGGTTTGTCCCAGGAAAGGTTGGAATGTTGGGGTAAAGGAGGTTTTGAGAGTTTGTTAGGAGTGAATGGAAGAAAATGGTTTTTATAATTTGACATGCTGTTTGAGTGTGAGCAAGGTAACATTTATGGAGGGATTCAGGTTAGCTGAACTTGAGTCCTGGAGGTGAGAAGTACAGTGCCTGCGCTCTGAAGGAGGGGGTGGGGATGTTGCAGTTTGGAAGGTCATCTGAACTGTGATATTGGTGCTCCTCTGGAAAATCACCTTGCCTCAAATGGAAGACAGGTGGAGTATTAAAAAAAAAAGCATTACCTGAACCCATTTTTCCAATGAACCTTCTTGTGTGCATCAGTGTCCAGTATTTCCAAATATATATTCATACCCTAATTCACTATACTCTCGCTGTTGTGTATTTGGACAAATGTTATATAGTTTGCTCTTTGTATCTCTTCCCTTTACACACCTTGTCCTTAACTAATATGGAATCTTTGATTTCAGCCATACCTATGTCACTCCTATCAGGTAATGTTTAGCTCTCATCATTGGCTCTAGGGAGAGTCACATTGTCACTCAAGGAAACTGGTTAGTTTTTTCTCATCCCTCTCCATATCTTAAGCACTGATGTTCCTACACATCTTGCTCCATGAACGAGTATGTTATTGTATATAACTCTATCTGCTCAGTAGCCCTAAAATTCGAATGGACAGTAATAACTGATCTATATGACAGTGATCATTCCCCTTTTCTTATTACTTCTTGCTTCTCAGGGGAAGTGCCATGATACCAGTGAGGGCTCTTGATCCATGGCCCCTTCAAGGAAGGTTCCTTGATGCTGGTGAGGGGATTTTGATCTAGGGAATTGGATCTGTGCTTCAGTTCCCTGAATTAAGCCTAAATACTTTCCACATCTCCCCCCACAGGTGCTGTATAATCCTACGGGTTTAGCGCTCCCCCTTGATTATAATAATCTTGATCCATGGACTTGGCCCTATTTTTTACCCATTCCCCAGGTGCTGTATGAATTACCTGGGTTTAGCTATTCATAATGATTATTATAATTACTACTATTCATTGATTCACGAAATTGTAATGATACGATTGCAAGCAAACCATACTGCGGGTTCTATCCCCGCCCGTGGTATGGTTTACTTTTCATTCTTAACCCACCCGCTTTGCTAACTTGAGCATGTGAAATGGACACTCTATGTACCATTCTGGAACCTCCTGATGTACGTACAGGTAAGCTATTATGTCTTCGTCTCTTTGGTATATTCACCAGCCCTTGAACCAGAGGTACTCAAGGGAGATAGATGCCTTAGTGCCAGCGAGGGGCTCTTGAACCGTAGAGCTGGAATTATCCTTCCCTTCCTTGGATCAAACATATATGCCTCACATCACCCAGGCACTTGTGGCCACTATAAGTTTAGTGCTTTCCACTGAATAAAATAAATGGTAAACATTTTTTAGAAATGTCCCCTGCTGGTCTTCCAACTGTGCTTATGTAGTTAAAAAGCTTGCTGCACTGGGCTGCTACCATTACAACCATACCATAAACTGTTTCCTAACTTGGAAACCAGCAAGAGTGCACTCATGTTGCATTATATTGACACCTTAACCAGCTTGCATGCTTATGCTATATGACCCTAGTGGGTTTAGCACTTGGTTTTGATGATGATGATGATAATTTGCATGCTTATATGCCCACTATAAATGACCCTTCTATCATGTGAGACGTCTGGGAAAAAATGTGTGAAAGTTAGGCAGTGTATGCACCTGACTTTGGTCCTGCTCTTGTCATTGTAAGTGAAGAAGTAGGAGACCCGAATGAAGTTGCTGAAGCAATTGGGCAAACATTAATTTGCATTTCGCAAGGCCTATATCTACCTCTTTAACTTTTATATTTTTCCCTTAGTATGGCTGAATGCGAGAATAGCACTCCTGTCTCATGAGTAGTGGACAAGATCAAGCCTCTGCTGTTCCTTGATCTCAATGACTTACACAAGTTTAGCTTAGCATTTCACATAGTATATACAATTATCTTAACTTTCTTTAAGCCAAACCAGGGTGGGAGACCACCCTAGTAAACTTTACCTCACATTCTGGCTTCTGATGTACAGAAGCCAGGCCTGGTGATAGACATGTTCACGTGTGATAAATGGTTTTGAAAACTGACAAGTTGAAGATTAAGACACTTATACAACATATGGAAATCTTTATTATGGAAACGTTTCACTACATAGTGGCTTCATCAGTCCATTACAGAGCAGGAAATAGGTAAGGAGAGGAGTTTGAGGTAATCAGTCCCTCAGCCTGGAATCGATGTCGTGAAACGTTTACTTAATAAGGATTCCCATATGTTGCATAAGTGTCTCAGTCTTCCACATGTTCACAAGTTGCAATACTTACATCACAGCACTTTCTTTAACACTTTTTCAACCCACTGTGATTCAAAGGTATTTTACCTCTAACAGCAGTGCTGTATGACTCTTAAGAGTTTAGCACTTGGTTATGATTAAAATAATTACTCTTACAAGGGATCCCTCATGGAAGGTTCTCTGATGTTGGTGAGGGGTTCTTGATCCAAAAAATTGGATCTACTTTCCCCTTTCCTGGATCAAACCTGAATATCTCATTTCCCCTGGTGCTGTATGATTCATACAGGTTTAGTGCTTTCTAATTAAACTAATAATCCCTGCAGTGGAAAACTGCAGTAGTCCTACTATTCCATAAACCAGGTACTGCACGCTACTAATATTGTAGACCCATAGCTCTTACCAGCACTGAAAACTGTTACTATGCTTAGTGAGTGGTTATGTTCGTTTATGTTCGTTAGATCCTGCTTCTTGACGAATCTTACATGGAAAGTATCTTGTAAAATGTTAAGTGGAATTGATAGAACAGATAAGGATAGGTGGTTTGAATTAGGAGGACCAGGGTCAGGGTTACATAGGTGGACAGTAGAGACACAGGAGTTATAGGGATATAAGGAAGTATTTATTTTCATGGTGGTTGAAAAACAGAATGCCTTGGATGAGGCAGTGGTGGAGACAAATTCAGTACACAGCTTTAAGAGCAGATAAGGCCCAAGATGACAGAAATCAAATATGCTGATTAAAGTAGCCCCTCAAGGGAGGTTCCTTGACGTTGGTGAGGGGCTCTTGATCTGTGCTCCGGTTCCCTGAATAGAGCCTGACTACCTTACACCCCCCCAATCCACTGTATAATCATATGGGTTTAGCGCTCTGCCATGATTATAATAATAATAATTATAATGATTAAAATAGTCTAGTAGATATAGTGAGGAGCTGAGTCTTAACTCTCCCTAATAAACACAACACCGAGTACAGTCATTTGCCCCCACTGAAGGTAAAAAGAGAGCAGGAGCACCTGTGAACAGGTGGCTATGGGTGAGATTTATGCCATTCCTCAACCAACAAAGATTTGTCCCAGTGACGATTCCAGTTGATAATGATAATTGTGTTCGCCAGGAACGAAGTCCTGACACAGGGTTTTGGCAGATGGTGACCCATTACTTTCGTCCTGAAAGATTGTCGGAGTTTCTACAAGTGATGTACCGTTTACAGCCCTATCACACGGGCATGGTGAGTCTTTGGGTCAGGTGGAATACCATTTACAAGGCACAGTGGTGAAGAAGTTGGCTGTAAACGTCACAGACATCCTGTAGCTAGGGTACATGTCTTTAGTCTGGCGTGTACGATGGTGTGAGTCATCTCTGACTCTAGACTCGTCTGCTACCCTCCTCACTCACAGAGATCATAGGGAGTATCAGAGATGCTGGTGCAGAGGAGTCAAGGTTAAATCTCTGGTATCTCAGAACCAGTGTTCTTGCTCGTATGAACCTCTCAACTCTCAGAAACTCTGCGTCACTTGAGCCATTCCTGGCTCAAATGGAGGGCCAGGAATAGGTGCTTTTTGGAAGGGAGTGGAAAAGGAAGTCATTTAGTGGGTGTTATGGAAGGAGGGGAGAAAGGAAGTCATTTGGAGAGTCCTATGGGAGGGGGTAAGGAACATATATGGAGGGTGAGAGAGAAGGATGGTGAGAGAAGGAAATCACATGAAAGGTGGGAAGGGAAAAGGATGTCATATGGAAGATGAGTGGGAAGGGGGAACAGAAAGCAAATGGAGGGTGGGAGGGGAGGGGAAAGAGTGTTCCTCAGAAGATTAGAATGGGTGGGAAAGATGTGGCCCGCAGGTCAAATATGGCCCTTCAAATTATTCCACTGTATATATATAAATAAGGAAAAAAATGTTTATTCATTATTATGTGGGAGATGGGCTTGACCCAAAACAGCAAGGCTGGCGAATCACCTGTTGACCTGACGTTGGGAATACCCCAAGAATGGTAATATGCAAGATTAGGATGAAGCGAAAAGAGGTCAATAAATTCCTACCTGAGAAACCCATTCTCGACCTTACAAGAGCGACGGCCACGCCCACACTTCAGTATTATTTCAACTGACGTGGGAATCCAGCACCAACACTGAAGAAGCTGTCTTCTCTATGACTTTCACTGTAGCAGATAATGCTAAGTGATGTATTTATTTACAAAAAAAATTATGTATGTTAATTTATTATGTTCTTATATTCCGTATCTATAGACACAAGGCTTGCTTGCATCAATACTAAGTGTGTGTGGCTCACGAAATGTACCACCATTCATGAGGATGGATTATTATTATTATTATAATAATCAAGGGGGAAGCGCTAAACCCGTAGGATTATACAGCGCCCAGGGGGGGGGGGATGTGGAAGGCATTCAGGCTTAATTCGGGGAACTGGAGCACAGATCCAATTCCCTGAGGATGGAGGGAAGTCTTGAGTCTGGGTCGCATCTTTTTGATAATAATAATAATAATAATAATTGAGTCTGGGTAAGGCTGCGAAGGCAGAGCTGCAGCTTTGTGAACACAGGAGCAGAACAAACAAAACACTCGTTGAATGCTTTATTTGGCGACCGGACAGGGAAACAAATCATTTAAAGCTGCCTTCGAAATCCACAACATCCACGATAATACATACTGTCATCGCATATACACCGAGAGGTGTGTATCTCTCATATACAGGGTATAATCTATATATCAAGGCTTAAATTATTCTTGATTGTTAATGTACAGGCGAAATGAACCTGTAATGACGCGGGTATAGTCAATAGAGAATAAAGTCACAGTACCATGACCGGAACAATTCACCAACCTCCGCACTTATGTAGAAGACCAACCAACCTTACGTTGACGTTTTTGTCCCTCCCGGACCATTGCAATTTGACTGTGATCCAGGACGGAGTGAAACATCTTTCTAAGTTTCCTCTCCTAAGTGCGTTTTTTTTTTTTTGTGAAGTGCAGTCCTTAGGCTTTAAACCTATAGTTTTGTCCGCGTTTGTTTGATTTAAATGCCTGTGAGGGATCTTGAAGTAAAGAATTGAGCCTATCCTTCCTTTCCTTGTATCGGACCAGAATGCATCTCAGTCTCCCAGGTCCTGCATGACTCCTACGGGTTTAGTACTTACCCTAAAAATAAATAAATAAATAAATAATAATAATAATAATAAAATAAACTATTGGTTAGACTCAAACACCAAGAATACTTTTATCTTTAAAATAGATTATTGCAAACTTTAAGTGTTTATGCATACGTCTCGGAATATATAATCACTATCTTGGACTTGCAGGATATATTTTGTAAATCCGAGATACTTTCCTTCAAAATTTAAAATTCATTTATTGAGCGTAGGTCATTTAAGTCTCAATTCAAGCTATCATAAAAAAAATCCCTGAAAATGAGCTTATATTAAAAAAATGCGCGAGTTCTGACAAGGATCTGACTTCATTATTAGCCAAAGTAAATTTTTATTGTATATGGACAGAGGCATATACCTCAGTGAGTATATATTCCGTCTTGATAAATATATATACCTATCTATTTATCTCTTCCAGTGTTACAGAGCAAACTGTGTTGTGATACCACATTGTGATAGACGTACAGAAGTGTCTTGTAATTTTACGACAATGTTTAAAATTCAACTAAGTTAAAAACTTTCATTTTATATATAAAGCTAAAATGGTCTATTAGGTTTGTATTTTTTTAAATCCGTTTCCTACATTTCCGGTAAAGCCGGAATCTACTTCCACTTATAGTATATTTATTTAATCTTGTGTAAGTTTATTGATAATGAAATGGTGTTTAGTCGTCAGAGCTTCCAAGTGAGTTTCAAGTTTAAAGAACCTGGAAAGAACATTGAACGGTGAAGTACAGAATCATAGTGCCTTTCTATGAACATAAAAAAATGAAACATCGAAACTGCTTCACTCACAGTTTGAGTGAAACAGAGAACTCAGGGGCTTGTTAATAGAGCTGGGAGCTTGGTCAAGGCAGCACCCATACATTCGTACAGCTAATATCTCTTGTTGAACACCAAATAGTAAGTTTTATTTGTTTTTTTTTATCGAAATGTTGCAGCTACATTTATGAAGGAAGCGTATATATTTAGTATTTATCTTGTAATTCTGGCTGATAACACCATAATGTTCTGATGAGGACTTAGCTAACAACCGTTTGATGGAATTGACATGGGCTGTGTGCGCTCTGGCAGTGAAAACTGCTACCAAACCTTATTGTCTCGAGTATTCTGCAAGGGGAGGAACGTCTTGGTGGCTCCAGTATTAAAGCGTGTAAATACTGTGAGATTGGAATAAGTAAAAAAAATGTGATAACGTAGTCTCGTGTATGGTGCGACTAACGCTATGATATTAGTCATCGTGAATTTGAGCCAACTTGCAAACTTCAGCTCTGAGGTGGATTGTGAATTGGTTGATTGATTTCGAGATAAAGTACTACGCGTCAACAAGGAGGTAAATAGTAAGGCTTGTGAATGTCAAAGAAATGTACGTATGTCCTGTTAAAATCTCCTGTATAAAGTCTAGGAGGTTTTTCTCGGAAATTACCGAGACGTGTGGAATAGTGTGGCACACGGAGGTCAATGGTTAGAATGAGGGTACACTGATTTTGATGGCTCATATTTGTTGTCCATGCCATGAAATGAAAACTCGGTACACATAACTTAGATCGTAACACAGAAAAAAGTGTTACGTGCGTTACGCAGAACCAGAGACGAAAAAACAGTAATACATAAGCTTACGGAAGCCAGTACAAATCATTTCTATAATTCACACTCTTGGAGATTTTATTTGAAACATGCATGTATCTTGGATGTACTATGTTAAAACCATAAAACAAGACATAATGCCGTACAGTGACATATACCGGCCCTTCCCACGTCTCTAATCATTTTACAAACACTTACAGAATAACTTAACATGATCCCCCCTCCCACTCGCTACACCCAAACACCACGTGTGTGTCGACACATCAGAGACATCATATATTCCCCAATATATCTAAAACGCCAGTCTCACACAACAAGGAATACAAGCACATACACTCCCCCCCCCCTGTCTGTGTCTGTCTGTGTGTGTGTGTGTCTGTCTGTCTGTCTGTGTCTGTCTGTCTGTGTACTCACCTATTTGTACTCACCTATTTGTGGTTGCAGGGGTAGAGTCCTAGCTCCTGGCCCCGCCTCTTCACCGGTTGCTACTGGGCCCTCCCTCTCCCCGCTCCATGAGCTTTATCAAACCTCGTCTTAAAACTGTGTATGGTTCCTGCCTCCACTACGTCATTTTCTAGGCTATTCCACTGCCTTACAACTCTGACTGAAGAAATACTTCCTACTATCTCTGACTCATTTGTGTCTTCAACTTCCAATTGTGGCCTCTTGTTTCTGTGTCCCCTCCCTGGAACATCCTGTCTTTGTCCACCTTGTCTATTCCACGCAGTATTTTATATGTCGTTATCATGTCTCCCCTGACCCTCCTGTCCTCCAGTGTCGTCAGGGCCGATTTCCCTTAATCTTCTAAATAGGACATTCCCCTTAGCTCTGGAACTAACCTTGTCGCAAACCTTTGTACTTTCTCTAGTTTCTTGACGTGCTTTATCAAGTGCGGGTTCCAAACAGGTGCTGCATACTCCAGTATGGGCCTGACATACACGGTGTACAGTGTCTTGAATGATTCCTTACTAAGGTATCGGAATGCTGTTCTCAGGTTTGCCAGGGCGCCCATATGCTGCAGCAGTTATCTGATTGATGTGTGCTTCCGGAGACATCTCGGTGTTATACTCACCCCAAATCTTTCTCCTTGAGTGAGTTTGCAGTCTTTGGCCACCTAGCCTATACTCTGTCTGTGGTCTTCTGTGCCCTTCCCCTATCTTCATGACTTTGCATTTGGCAGGATTAAATTCGAGAAGCCATTTGCTGGACCGGGTGTCCAGCCCTTCCAGGTCTCTTTGAAGTCCTCCTGGTCTTCACAGATTTAATTCTCCTCATTAACTTCACATCATCTGCAAACAGGACACTTCTGAATCCAACCCTTCCGTCATGTCGTTCACATAACCAAAAATAGCACTGTCCTAGGACCAAACCCTGTGGGACCCCGCTCGTCACGGGTGCCCACTGTGATACATCATTACGTACCATGACCCCTTTTGTTGCCTCCCTGTCAGGTATTCTCTGATCCATTGCAGTGCCCTTCCTTTTTATATGCGCCTAAAGCTCTAGCTTCTGCACTAATCTCTTGTGAGGAACTTGTCAAAGGCCTTCTTGCAGTCCAAGAAGATGCAATCACCCACCCCCTCTCTCTTGTTACTTCTGTTATTTAAAATCATAAAACTCCAGAAGGTTTGTGACACAGGATTTGCCTTCCGTAAAATCCGTGCTGGTTGGCATTTATACTCCTGTTCCGTTCCAGGTGCCCACCACTTTTCCTCCTGACAATCTTCTCCATAATTTTGCATACTATAAAACGTCAATGACACAGGTCTATAGTTTATGCCTCTTTTCTGTCTCTTTTTTAAAAAGGGGAACTACATTTGCGTTTTCCATCCCTCAGGAGTTGCCCTTTTTCCAGGCTGTTTGAAGTTTTGTGGCAAGTGGCCGCACAAAAATTCTGCTCCCCTCAAAGGGACCCACGGGAGTTTTTGCCCGGGCCCCATTGCCTTTGGGGGTATCGATGTCCCTTAGCATTTTCTTCACCCCTCCTCATCTTTATTTTGTCTCCAACCTTGTTGGGTATTCCTTGCTGGGCCCCCCATCGGGTCTGCCCCCCAAGCCCTTTCCTGTCCTACTTAAAAATTTCCTTAAATCTTTGAGCTCCTCACAACCTTTATCGTTTCTTTTGATTTTCCCCCCTTTCTTTCCTCAGCCTTATCACCTGGTCCTTGACGTTGTCTTCCCCCAAAGGGGCATCAACATTTTGGGGTCAGATTTGATTTTTCAAATGCTATTGTTTTCTCTGTCGCGGCCCCCTCCTTATCTGTGCATACCGTTCTGTCTTCTACTAATCTCCTTGTTTTCCTGGGCCTATGCCCCCTGTCCCTTTTCCATTCTCTGTTGCACTTGTTTTTTGCCTCCTAAAACCTTGGGGGAAAACCCGGGACTCGTTTTTCTTCCTATTATTTCTGTTCCCTTGGGGAACAAAACTTTCCTCTCCCTCCTTCCCTTTTTGTTGCCACATTCCACATCTCGTTTTATGTTTTTTCCTCCCATTTCTCTGTCCCACTAAACCTCCTCGGGAATTTCTCATACCTGTGTAGCCCCCCCTTTTTATATTTTGGGCCTGTCCCCTTCATTCCTGTTCCCTTCTCCCCTTGAAACTTACTATATATAAAAAAACTGCACCAATGACCCTACCCCAAAGGGGGCCCTCGTAAGGATGTCCTAAATGTCCGAACTGCCAGGGTGAACACAAGACCCAGTCTTGCTGGCCCAACCTCCCCTCTCTCTCGGGGTTGTGTCCCTGACATGTTGATGCATGAGGTTTTCAAGTACCACATCCTCATTTTGGGCTCTCCATTTTTCGGGACCCCCATGGGGCCCCAGGTTTTCCCCAGTCATCCCCCTGTGTTAAAATCGCCCATTCCCAGAAACTTCTCGCTCGAGTGAGTCTTTTGCCACCTCAGCCATTGTCCACCATCACCCGTTGTTTTCTTCGTACTCCCTCTTGCCTCCGCATTTCGGGGTGGGGGGTATACACACTCCAATGATATTTATTTTTCTCCGGACTGAATTGTACCTAAAATGTAGTCTCTTTCCCAATCATGTCCATGCCTTATTTCCTCAAACCCCCTCGGGTTTTTTTAGCATAAAAAACCCCCTCCTCCCCCTCACCCCCTACTTTCCTCAGGATCTGAATCCTTTTGGGGAAGATTGTGTCTGTTATGTCTCACGAGTTTTTTTTTCGGACGCTATGATTCTGGGGATTTTTCCTGATTCTTTCATTCCACTCCTCAGTTTATTCGTTATTCCACCCGCTTTTGTGTCCCCAAACCCTTTTAGTTTCTTTTCTATCATTGGGTCATAAAAGAATATTGGGGGTTGGGGGGAGGGAGAGCCTTGTGGGGGCCCTATAGGGGGCGTGGTTAGTGGGGGTTTTTGTTGATGGGTGGGGGCGAATGCCCCCAAAAGGGGCAGCTTTTGGGTGAGGTTTTTTGATATGGGGGTTGGTGGTAGAGGGGAACAGGAGTGGGTTGTAGTAAAGTTTTCCAGTTGCGTGGGAAGTCGCGGGGGGAGTCTTTTTGGGGGAGATCTGGGGGTGTTTGCCCTCCTCCCTGGTCGGGTCCCGTCATTGTGTGCGGGCTGTGTGTCTGTCTTGTGTCTGTCTGGGGGTCTGTCTGTGTGTCTGCTTGTGCTGTCTTTTGGTGTGTGTGTTCTGTCTGTGTTCTGTCTGTCTTGTGTGTCGTCTGTGTTTTGTCTGTCTGTGTGTTGGGCTGTCGGTGGTTCGTTTTGTTTCTCTGTGTGTGTGTGTGTGTCTGGGTGTGGGCTGTGGTGTGTGTGTTGTCGTGTGTGTGTCGTGGGTGTTGTGTGTGGTTTTCTGTGGTTGGTGTGTCTGTCTGTTGTGTGTGTTGCGGGTGTGCGTCGTGTGGTGTTTTCTTTTGTGTGTCTGTCTGTGTGTGTGTCTGTGTGGTGTGTCTGTCTGTGGTGTGGTCTGTCTGTGTGTGTGTCTTCGCTGTTGTGTGTGGTCTGCTGTGGGTGTGTCTGTCGTGGTGTGTCTCTGTGTGTGTGTCTGTCTGTGTTTTGTCTGTCTGGGTGTGTCTGTGGGTGTCTGCTGTGTCGTGTGTGTGTGTCTGTCTGGTGGTGGGGTCTGTTTTGTGTGTGGGCGTCGTGTGGTGTCTGCCCCGTGTGTGTCTGTCTGGTTTTTTGGTTTTGTCTTCTGTGGTGGGTCTGTGTGTGTTGGGGGTTTGTCTGTCCCCGTCTGTCGGGGTGTGGGCTGTCTGTTTGTTTGTCTGTGTTGGTGTCTTTGGTGTGTGGGGTCTGTGTGGTGTGGTGTGTTGTCTGTTGTGTGTGTGTTGTCTGTTGTGTGTTGCTGTGTGTGTGTTTTCGTTGGGGTTTTTGGTGGTTCGTTTTGTGTTTCTGTCTGTGTGGTGTCTGTCTTTTTGTGTGTGTGTCTGTTGTGTGTGTCTCTGTGTTTGTGTGTGTGTGTTGTCGTGTGTGTCTTCGTGTGTGTGGTCCCGTTTTGTTCCTGTTTCTCCCCGTGGGGTTTGGGGGGGCGGTCCACCCCCTCCCCCCCCCCACGTGCTACTAGGTTATTCCCCCGGGGGTTTTATCCGAAAACTTTTGGCCTGCCTCCACTATCGCTTTTTTCCCAAAAATTCCCCACACTTACAAAAACCCTTGCTGAAATATTCCTCCCCCTTTACATCGCTTTTTTTCCCCCAAATTTCCCTTTTACTGGTTCCTTCTGAAAAATTTTTTTTACCTTTAACCCCTGTATTTTTGTGTCTTTAGCCCCCCAACCCCCTT